TGCAAAATTGGCTCAGAATCTGCTTCCCTGCCATCCCTCTTGCTATTCCAAGCTCAAATTATTCTAAACTTAGAATTCACACAATTAAATGAGCACTGAAGTAATAATAAATGATATTTTGTAAAGATAAACCGAAGTGAAGGTTGATCTTGTGATAAAGGCACTGATTTGGCACTTTAAAGATCCCAGTTTAATTCCCAATATGGACACAAATCTTTAGTATAAATTTGGAAGATTACTTTTCTCTCTGGGTCTCCGGTTTTTGATTATAAAATGAGACTGAGTTGAACTCTCTTCTTTGTTAGTGAGCTTTTTAGAACATGACTGTGAATACAGCCTGAAGTTTATGTGAAACCTGTAAGAAGACAGATACCTCAGGCTTGTGGGGGTTTTTTTAGGCCATTATCATAAGGAAACAGTAATACTTGCAAAATGTCCGGGCATCTGGACAATCAGGTCTTACCATGGCTCTTAAAATCTTTGAAATTACTTAGCCAGATCAGTACCTCATGTAGAGTCATGGTTTAACCAGATCTGGCTCTTGAGCACCAGGTCACCACTCACTCCCCACCATGGGATGGGGGAGACAAGCAGAAAAGTATAAGAGAGAAAAGTCATGGTTGGGATAAAGAGACTTTGAGATTAAGACAGTTTGATGGATAAAGCAAAAGCTGTGCACAAAAGCCAAGCAAAATGAGGGATTCTTGCACTACTTCCCAGGGCAGACAGGTGTTCAGCCATCCCCAGGAAAGCAGGAGTGTATCTCATGTACTGGGTCAGACAAATGCCGTCACTGTGAGTGTCCCCTGCTCCTCCTCCTGCCAGCTCTGATACAGAACATGACTCCATACAGTTCAGAATGTCCCTTTGGTCATTTGGGGTCAGCTGTCCTGGCTCTGTCCCCTCCCAGCTTTTTGTGCACCCCCAGCCTCCTCTCTGGCAGGGCAATATTAGAAGAAAAGGCCTTGATGCTGTGGAAGGGCCACTCAGAAATAACAAATTTTATATATTGTCAACACTGTTTTCAGCAGAAATCTAAAATATGGTTCATCCTAGCTACTATTAAGAAGAAATAACCCTGTCCCAGAGAAAACCAGTACCTGTAGGGTTTGTGTGGCAAGGTTACTGGGAGGGGCTCTAGGGCTGGCTTCTGTGAGAAGCTGCCAGAAGCTTCCCCTGTGTCCTACAGAGCCAGCACCAGCCTGCTCCAGGATGGACCCACCACTGGCCAGGGCTGAGCCCATCAGTGATGATGAATAACACAGTTAAAGAGGAAAAATCCCACAGCAGCTGGAGAAAGGAGTGAAAACATGTGAGAGAAACAGCCCTGCTGATGTGGAGGCCAGAGCAGAAGCAGGGGCAGGAGATTCCCCTGGGGCAGCCCCTGGAGTGTGCAGGGCTGCAGAGATCCTCCTGCAGCTGGTGGAGGGCTCCATGGCAGAGCAGGGGAAGAGCATCAGGAGCTCTCCTTCTGCAGAGCAAGGAGTGGCAGAGATGATGTGTGAACTGACCAAACCCCCCATTCTCTGTCCCCCTGTGCCTCTGGTGGGGAGGAAGTAGAGAAATCAGCAGTGAAATTAAGCCTGGAGCAAAGGGAGGGGTGAGTGGGATATGTTTTTAAGATTTGGCTTTATTTTTTATTACCCTTCTCGGAGCTGATTTGGAATAAATAAAATTAATTTTTCCCCAAGTCAAGTCTGTTTTCCCTGTGACAGTAACTGCTGGTTGAACTCTCCCTGTCCTTATCTTGATCCATGAGCTTCTTGTTATGCTTTCTCTGGCCTGTTCATTTGAGGAGGAGAGTGGTAGAGTGGCTTTGGTAGGTACCTGACATCCAACCAGGGTCAACCCACCATAACACATTTCTTAGCTTAGAATGAAAAGTGCAGTACTATGTAATAAAAACCACTGTTCTATTGTAAAGATATATTGTGGGAAATCAGATTAATGTAAAAAAAAAAAAACTGTATCAAGAAGGAAATGTCTCTGCTAAAAGTACACAAATTCTACCAAATCAAAGGGCTAAAAGTGCTTCCAGGGAGCTTGTAAAAAAATGACAATGTGAAGATGATATGTTTACTGTGTGTCAAATTAAACTAAGACAACTCTCTTTTCCAGGTCACATGAATCAAAGGGATGAAACAGACAAATGGATTAAGGCTGACACACAAAATGGCAAAGTGTGTCTTAAAAGCCAAAGCTGGATCCAGTCTGTCAAGCTGAAGAGTTCTTAAAGGTGAAATAGGCCAAAGAGATTAAATCAGGAAACTACAAAGGAACATTTCTGTAAAATTATTAAAACTTTTGGATGAATATTCTTAATATAAAAGAGAAACTATTAAAAATGAGAGAATTTTAACCCAAGATTTGCCTGTGACAGTGCTGGTACTAAACAGTCTGGTTTACTTTTAGTGCCTTTTAGGAATGAGATGATCTTACATATTCAGAATTCATGTAACTTGACCCACTTACCATATCAGTTTAAAAGCTGATAGCTTTCAAGTAAAAGTTTGGAATTGTCATTTAAAAATTTTAAAAAGCATTTTCAACACTTCCAAGATGCCATGCTTTGCAAGCTCTGTTTACTTCTAAATTAAATGTCTCAATACTGTGGGAATTCTGCTGGTTTATGCAAAATGCAGAGAATGTTCTTCAACCAAATTGTATCATGGATAGGAAAAAATCACTTTCAGTGTGGTTCTTTTGTGGTTTTCTTATTTGGTGTTTGAACCCTGAGCAGTTTCTGCCTGAGTGATGAGTACTTACAGTGTAAAAATACTTCTGTGAAATGGCAGAACTTGCTCTGTGTCATCCTGAACCTCTGGTTTGTGGATAGAAAGAAGAACTCCAGCTCTGTCTACCACTGCTCATCTGCAAAGAAAAAACTTTTAAAATAAATAAAAGTACCATGGATCTGGCTGATTTCAAGGAGCAGCACTCCTCCACCTGAGCATTCCCCTGCAGGAGAAGCTGCCCTAGCAGGGAAGTGTTCCCTTGGACTGAGAGCTGGAATCTCCTGGTTTGCTCTGTCTGCAGGGACTGAGAGCCCTGTCCTGCAAAGCTCCTGGGAGGCAGAGAGGGAGGTGAGGGAAGCACTAAAGCTGCACAAGGGCAGGTCTGATTTTTGTGGAGGGTTCTGTGTTACTGTAAAACAAGCACACAGCAAAGTAAATGCAGCTTTTAAAAGCCTTTCCATGCATCTCTATGGCACCTTATAGAAGCAGTAGTGAAATTTGGGTTTGGAGCTGAAATGTCAGAATCCCTGCCAGCTGAGGGGGTGGTGAGGAGCAGGAGAGAATTCAGACTTTATGTTTTGTATATATGTGTATGTTCTTTAAGGCATAATGGTACATTATGAAATTAACTTCTTTTGCCACAGGATTCCCCAGGAGATATAATTGCCCCTGGCTAATGGACTTCAAGAGTCAAGGGCAGCATATCTGCTGTAATTCAGGGAGGTTAAAAACTCCCCTTCCTGTTTATTGTTCTGTGTACTGCTTGTTGGGTTGAGGTGGGCAGGATGCATATGACAAATTATATGTATTTTTAATATAAACAGTAATATATAAAACGTTTCTAATAGTTTTACTAAAGGCATTGCAATATTACTAGGTATGAGTTATTATTAAACTTTTAAAATTTATAAAATTAATAAATTATAATGGTTTTGGATATCCAGAAAAATATTTGAAACTAATGTTTTCTATGCCCTGCTGCAGCCAAAGTGAAAAAAGTACCTCAAAATTCACACCACGTGAAAATAGTCTAGTAGGTACTTCACAAGATTGGATCCATTTAATGGTCCCATTATTCACCTGAAATACAAAGACTGTCAGCCTCTGAGATTAAGGTTGTGTTTTTTGAGACTGCTGCATCAGCAATTTAAGGGAGAACATAGTAAGAAAACATGTTCTTTGTTCCATATTCAAAAGAAAGCAAACTCAGACTTTGAATTCATTAATTTTCTAAATCTAGCAGGAATTAAACATCAGACTTGTTAGTTACTTGCTTAAAGAAGTTTAAATCAGCCAGCAGAAAAATTGTGCTACCACTAAAGCTACTGATTATATTAATTCCAAGCTAAAACATGTTGAGACCAGCTAGAATGTTAATATAAAGGTCAAGAATGAGTTGAAGGAGGACAAACCCTTCCTTATGAGTTTCCCCAAAGGCATTGAACAATGTCTTGTTCTGCTCTAATGAGGTGAAACTGTATTTATCTCTAGACAAGGGAAGATGAGTAGGTTATCAGCAATTAGAATTTGAATGGCAAACCCCTTGTGTGCCCATATATCTTTTTTTGTGCATTTGATGAGAAGACATTCTTGTAACTGGAGCAAATTTATACTCAAACACATTTTTCATCTGGCCGCCCTTTAATTTGGTTCTCCTGGTCTCTCAGCTGCCAGCCAGCCCACAGTTCAGACCTGCAGACACAAACATGAGGTTGTTCAGAGAGCTGGACTCAGCCCAAGAGGCTTTTATGAGAATGAAGGCTCTGGGTGCACAAGTGGCTGTTGAGAAGTGGAGAACTGTGCTTAAATGCTTGGGTATATTAAAGGACCTGCAGTCACTGCCTACTCACTGCCCTCCACTCCTCAGGAAGGCTGTACTTGATGGGTACCTGCCACATCAAGTGTGAAGTTCTCTGGGGGTCACAGTGTTGATGTCCTGGAGAGGACCTTCATGGCAAACAAATCCTCCAACACATGCAGGTTTATTCATTGCTTACTCTGCACGGGACTACAAAAACTTTCATTATTGAAAGATGAAGACAGCTTGAATCAACATCTGAGAGTTAGCAGTGCTGTCTGAGTGCAGCTGTCTTGCTTGAAGGCATTCATACTCCTGTGAGAAGATTTGCTATGCTTCCTTACTAATGCAACAAATGGCCTTTTATTAAAGTGTGATTAGTTTTAAGAAAAAATAACACAGTGGTCTTTTCATGCTCTAGAGAAAAGCCCTTGAACTGTAGAGATGCTGCACAATTTCTTCATTTTTCATTTTGAAGAATTTGTTTTTTCAGGCTCTGATCTGTGTTTTTTTGGTGAAGGTGATTATGTTACCATCCCAGTCATATCCAAGCCAGGAAGGATGGTCAGCATTGTTATGTTCCTGTTTCTCCAGTTCAGCTGTGTATTCCAAGACATCTTGTCTGCAACAAGAGTTTAAAAATAAAAATGAAAAAATAAATATAATAATGACAAGAGCATATATTTAAAAATAATAATGACAAAACTTTTCAGAGGCTGTTTTTACAAGAACACTAAAAGCAGTTTAATGAGGAAAAGTTCCTTGCTTTAACTAAAGCTATCAATATTATTGAGGAAAGGAAACCGGAAGTTAATTGGTTAGGTCATAGAGTCACAGAATGAATTAGGTTGGAAGAGGTCTCTGGAGAATGTTTTAACCTGATACTGCTTTAAATGTATCCAACTATTCCAGGTGAGTCATGGCTTTGCCAGATGAGTTCTGAATATCTTTAGAGATGAAGCTTGCACAGTCTCTGGGATCCTCTTCAAGAGTTTGGCCAGCTTCCTGGTTAAAAAATTAAAGTTTCCTTGTAATCAGAAAGTGATCAGAATTTTCCATATGCCATTTGTCCTATCAGTGCACCTTTGACACTGGTCTGGCTCTGTCTTCTCTTCTCTATGCTCTGATGAGAGTAAGAGGCAGCAATAAGGTCTCCTCCATCTCAAATCTTCTCCTGGGACGTAGCAAAGCAATTCTCTGAAGGTTCTTCACACATCACATGCTCCAGCACTTGAATGGTCTTGGTGGGCTTCATCCACACTTGCTCTAGTGTGTCAGCATCTGCCTGAACACAGATCTGAGAGGGGGATGCCACTGCAATAATAACATTGTCTTTGGAAGAAAATATAAAACCAAACAAGATAAATAAACCAGCTACACCTGAAGGTATTACAGCATCTCCAGGGTGTTTTTTCATGGCTCTGTAGGAAGGCTGTAGTAACTGTGCAGGTCCCTCTGTTTCTCTATTTGAACCAGTGTCTGTGGCACCTCCAAGTACTTTTACCCTTTCCTCCTTCACCTTCTGCTTGTTTTTTGGCCAGCCTCTCTACTGTAGGTATCTTCTGTCACCCACGTCTTTTAACATGTATTGTTTCAGAAATGGAATTGGGTACACAATGGGCAGTGCTACAGGAGCCTTGTGGAGCTCCTGCATTTACTGGCTCTGGCTCTGGACCTGCCCCAAGGCTGTTTTGTTTTGCAGCTTCTGTGAGAGCTGAACCAGAAGAGAGTTGTCCGTGATGCCCAAACCTACCCATGACCCCTCAGATCCTCCTCAACATTTTGTGGCCACTGCCCTTTTGCAGAATTAGAGCACAAAACTAGCAAACTGGATAAAAATTTGAGAAAATCAGGCCTCCTGAGTGAGACACTCTAAAAAGAAGAAAAGCAACTCTCCCTTCTTTTTTGGCAGTGTCAACCCAGCAATTTTCAGTACCTTCCCAAGCTGAAGAAATGGAACCCACCACTTGCAGTGCTGTGAATGTCTCTTTCTTTCCATGCCTTGTGTGAGCTGGCTGCCAGCCTGGTCCTGCTGAGCAGAGCACCCTCCTGCCCAGCCTCCCCCTGTGCTGGGTACTCCAGGGCTCCTGGGGAAGAGCCAACTCTGCAGCTCCCATCCTCTCCAGGAGATTCAGCCTGATCTGGTGTGTCACAGCCACATCAAGACAGTCTTTCTCCCTGCTGGCCAACTCCTGAGCTCTGGAAAAATATACAGCATCCAGACAATACTGGAAAAAAATCCAAATTGAAGGGCTCTGTTATCTGTCAGTAATGCTGCTACAGTGCTCTTGTGTTTGTTTCCCAAAGTGGAAATGCTGGAGATGGTTACAAGGGGCAGATGTGCCCAGCTGTGATGCTTGCACCACTACAGCAGGAAAGGGAAGTGGGCAGGAGTGGAAAAGGGACAGAATTAGTGAAGCAAGAAGGGCTTGTTTTCAACCACTGCAGGATATTTTTTTTATAAAATGTCCAACACTGACACACTCTATGAACCACATGAACACAAGGCTGCATCTGTTTTTATATTAGGGAGGCCTGTGCCATTGAGGAATGTGTGCACAATTTATATGAGCTATAAGCTCTGACCTATAAAAAATCAACTCATCCAAGTCCAAATTCCTGTTTTTCATGGAAACTGCAATGTATAGTGGCTGTCTGAAGCATGTATAAGGGGAGCTGTTACTACTTTTTTGGAAACTTATGATGTCCCATGCCTGGAGCTACAGTTGAGTGGTTTGCCAGAAACAGCCATTCATTAATCATCAACACATGGTAAAAAGATTGTTTATTTAAGATATACTGTGCTATGAGAGAGCCTGATTATTTTATTTATTTATTTATTTACTTACTGTCTTAAATGAGCCAATTGATGAATAAAAGTATTTCAGCCAATAATGACAGTTATCTTTGGCAAAACAACTATCTCTTGGTATAAGTCAGACAAAAGTACTGCCCAAACACAGGGCTTGAGCAGCACTGGAATACCTAATTGAATCCTTACCCAAAGTTTGACTCCATTTTACTGAGAGGGGGTAACTGGGAAATACAGTTCTGCAACATGGTCTGAATCCTGAGCCATTCCAAAACTCAGCAATTTTTCAGAATCACAGAATGGGCTGAGTTGGAAGGAACCCACCAGGATCATAAAGTGCAACTCCCAGCCCTGCAGAGCACCATTCCCAAAGTCACCCCATGTGCCTGAGAGCACTGCCCAAACACTTGAGCTCTGTCAGGCTGGGGCAGTGACCACTGCCCTGGGGAGCCTGTTCCTCTTTGACTGGGTCCATCATAATAAAAAGCAGAGATTTAAAAAAAAAAAAAAAACAAACTTAGTGAGCTGAGGTTACAGAAACCAATCCATAGTAAAAAGTAATGGAAAATAAAATCTCAAACATGGGAGAAATGTTCATAGTACAAGTACAGGAGAAATAAGGCAAGTGGAGGCAGGGAGCTAATGGGAAAAGCAGGAAGCATTCTGCAGGCATGCTCCAGGTTACAAAATGTGGTAAGTCTACTTAGGATCTGAAGTATTCTGAGGTGCATGTCAGCTGCAGTAGTTTTATCATTGTATGGCATCCAGTTCATGTGCATTCAGTGGCTGAAACATGGCACTCCAGGAGCCTCTGTGTCACTTCCAAAAGGAGAATTGCAGTCAGTGAGAGGACAGTACTGTATTTCTGTTGCTTGTTAAACAGAAGACAGGAGTAATTGTTGTTGGTCTTTTACCAAATCGTGTGTAGGAGGTCTTAATTTCCAGTTCCATGTTTGTTGGATCTTTCCTGCACTGAGACCTGAATATTTGGATAACATGTAAGAAATTCTGTGAGTTCTTGCAGAATCTCCTTTCTAACCAACAGCATCCATTACAAAACACAACAACAAAACCAAACAAAATTTAAAGTCTTCTCCAAATGTCAAATGTATTGTAACTATTAAGACCTAATGTAAGTTTTGTTTAAAAGGCAAACATTGTAAGAGGAATTGTTGATAGCACAGTTTTCGGGGAAGATCTTTTCGGGGAACCAAACTGTTACAGATGAGATGTAGTTTGGGGAAATTACAAGACTAGCTGGCTTCTCTGTCAATGACATGTTTCCTTTCTCATTTTGCATCTAGAAATGTTAACACAGAATGTTTTACAGGGAGCAGAAATGTTTCTCTAAAGATGTCAGTATGATTTCCTGTAGTCTTAAGGAGTAGTCTTAAGCAAATCAAACTGACACCACCTTTTCCTACATTTTAGAAAGCAGAGAGTTAGGTTGTTTTTCCTCTAGCAGAAGAAATAAATTGCACCAGCACTATGTACTTCCACATTAGATTATCCACGATTCTTTCTTTCTGCCATTTAGAAACTGGATTAACTGAAAGGTCATTAGCCTCTGGATACAGAAATATGCAGCAGGATACCAGGCCACAGACCTTTTTTTCCTTCTAACATTTATTAAACCTGGAAGGAGGGCAGTATGTTGGCAAATATAATCTCAAAGTCTACCTGATACTGGAAAGAATGAACAATTGAAAGCCCATAAGTGTTTCCTATGAAGTTGCATTGGACTGAAACTTGAAGAACTTTGTGGCTCCACATGTTTTCTATTTTAATCTATCAAAACAGTAAAAATAAAAAAAGAAAAATAATATGCACAATACAAGAGATATGACTCAATACTTGCAAGGTTTAGTCTATTAAGAAATGTCTGCTAGGACTGGTTAGTGTTTAACAATAAATAATGGGGAATTCCTTTGGAACAATGAAGTAGTATTTTATGCCACAGATATTTTAAGGCAACTTTAAACTAAAAACATATTTCTTCTATTGCTTATTTAGAACCTAAGCCACTAGCATGTTTAATTCTCCAGATGAATGTGATTTTTACATAGATGACCTCTTCCATCTGCTTAAACAGAGAATGAAATTTCTCTACAATGTCGGTTTCACATCCTCCGAACATAAATTACACCTGAAAGCAGCCTTTACCTTCTGTGAAAATCTAAGAAGCTGAATATGGTTTTAAGAGTTAGCTGAAAACGGAGAATTAAGGCTTGATTTAGTTCTTTTGACAATCTGTTGCTTGTCATTCATTACTAAAAACATACAGGTTGTGAAAGAAACACATCGTTTTATAGAAATATGTGAAGTGACGGTACTGTCATTGCTGTTGATGTTGCTGAAAAGCTACTGCAAGATAACTCACTCTAGAATCATGCCATATTTTACTGTGCTTTTGATGTAGTTATTGGCAGAAGATAAAATTTTTATCATCGTTGCCATATTGACCTTGAACTGCAATTAAAAAAAAAGAGAGATTTTCCCAAACTGGGAAACATGCAGGATGTGGAACATATCAGAATCTTACTGTGAACTCACTTTTATCTTCTGAATATCATTCCCAGTATATTCTGTGGCCTGGCAAGGTCTAGGGCGGGATTTCTTTGGACTTGTTGGAAAGAACAAGGAAAAAATGTTTGGGACTGCATTATTCTGTATATCAATCCAGCTTGTAGGTGTGGTCCCAGACTCAGATGGTGCAGGATGGGAGTTTCCTATCACTGAATAAGTGGTGTGAAGGGTTAGAGACTGAGGCTGGCAAGGAAAAAAACCATCCACTGTCCTGAAAATGAAACTCAAGAAAATAAAGCTGGCAAAGTTTACCTAGTTCTAAACATCACAAAAAGGGCAAAGATAACACTGGGTGGAGACATGTGTCTCGTGGTTGCCTTTTTGTTTTGCAAAGATGTGTAACTCTCCAGGGTTATCTTTAGAGTAAAAATAACTGGTTGGGAAATTCCTTGGCTGGGTCAGAAGAGTTTAATCAAGACCTTTGGAGAACCCATTGCACATGGGACTCTTAGGCAGAGGCAAAATCCTGGGTCATCCCAGGCCAGAATAATGCAAATGGGTTTCTGAGAAGTCATGTCAGCTCCTTGGTGATGGCTCACCCAGCACAAATTGGAATTTGCACAAGTTTCTGTTCCCATTTCATCTCAGTTCTACAGGAAGATGGATAAGCAAGCAGAATCAGAAAGGGCTGGCACACTGTTGCTGCTCTAAACAGAAATATGAAGTCACAGAATGAACAAGTCAACAACAGTAATCTGAGGATAAAAGAAAAACCCTTGAGGTTTAAGATGAGAAAAACTGTAAATCAGAAAATTATGAAGAGATTAAATGAATCTGAATTATTTTTTTTTCAATTACTACTGTTGCCTACCAATCTTTCAAAGTACTTTCTATATCTAACAAGTGTTTAATTAGAAGTAGAGATTTTAAGGAGAAACTTCTGAGATGACATTGAGAAAACTACATCTGAGAGAAGTAAAGAAAATAAGACCAATGACAGCAGAATTGTTTGTGGTAGGACAGGGAAATAGTAGAGGAGGATTTGGAAAGTGTGAAGCACACTGGAAATACCTTTTGAGTTATTAAGTATGTGTATTGGTCCTGTGGTCTCTAAAGCAGCTATTAAACCCTGGAATGGCTCAGCAGGCAGTACAGTACTTACAGAGGACCTGTTAAAGTACACTTAGAGCCCTCCTGCTACAGGCTGAGTATATAGGATGGCCTTTTATATTTCTTACTCTCATAAAGCTTTATTAAGTTATCTATTCAGATATATCAACCATGTCTAAACTTCAGTTCCTTTCCAGTTTCAGGCCCTGTGGCATGTCTGGCCACTGTGCTGTTCTAGGTGCTCAGGGCCTGGTCTGTGATACTCTTAACCCCCATGGAAGGGTGGTGGGCATTGAATCCACATCTTTTGAGACTCACAAGACTCAACTCAGTTCTCCTAGTTTTTAAGAAGGGTAAAGAAGGAAGGCATCAGCAATTTCAGGCCTTCCAATCTCACTTCAGTGCCTGGTAAAAGTATAGAGAAGGTTATTCTGAGAGTAACTGAGAAATATTTGGAACAATGCAGCCACTGGGCACAGCCACCATAGGTTCAAGAGGGGGGGAAAGTCCTGCTTAACCAACTTTATTTCCTTTTATGACAAGGTCATCCACCTAGCTGACCAAAGGAAGCCAGTAGATATGGTGGGTTTGGATTTTAGCAGAGCTTTTGATACTGTCTCCAAAAGTATCCTGGATAAACTGTCCAGCCAAGTCCATAATACACTGGGTGAGCAACTGGCTCAAAGGGTTACAGGAAATGAGGTTGTATCAGGTTAGTGGCCAGACACCAGTGCTCAATTTGTAATGTTTTTATAAATGATCTGGATGCAGGAATTAAATGTAAAGTGTGCCAATGATACTAAACTAGACTCCCTGCAGGGTAGAAAGGAGCTCAGGACAGACTGAAGAGCTGGGCAATTGCCAGCTGCATGAAACTGAATAAGAGCAAATACTCAATCCTTCACCTGGGATGGGGTAAACTTGGTTATACATACACACTGGGAGATGTAAGGCTGGAGAAAAAGCCCTGCAGAAAGGGATCTGGGAGTCTGATTCTATGGAAAGTTGAACATGGGCCAGCAGTGCCCTGGCAGCCAGGAGGGCCACCTGTGTCCTGGTGACACCAGGCACAGCATCACCAGCTGGGCAATGGAGGGGATTGTCCTGCTCTGCTCTGCACTAGGGGCCTCACCTTGAGTGCTGTGGGCAGTGTTGGGCATCACAATGCAAGAAAGACATTAAACTATTAGAGACCATCCAGAGAAAGGTGACCAAGATGGTGAAATGTCTTGAGCACAAGAATTACAAGGAACAGTTTATGTCAATTGGCTTGTTCATCCTGGAGAAGGGAAGGCTGAGGGGGAAGTGCTGACCAGTGACAAGGCACAAGCTGTGTCAGGGGAAGGTCAGATTGAACTTTAAGAGAAGTTTCTTAGAGGTTGGTCAGTAAAAAACAAACTGGGAAAGTGGTCACAGCACCATAGCTTGACTCCCTTGCTGTAACCGTGCTGTGTTTTGAGCACAGGCACAAATCTACTGCCATATACTGACATGCAGTTGGTGGGAAACAGGCTCCCACAGACCCTTGGAGTGAGCTCAAGGACAGTGAGATGGCTGAGAGCATTAATCCCAGCCTGGTTTTCTCATTCATGTTCCCAAGTGTCCTTTGCCAGCAGAAACGTCCCTAAGAGGACTTTGTCTGCCATAGAGAGACAGAGTCTGTGTCTCTGCTCACTTCTGGCTGACACTGGAACATGCAGAGAACCCTGCCACACCACAGGAGTCCTAAGGCACCAATAGGGACACCCCCTAGATAAACTAGATGGGTCAAGCCAGATCCCTAGCATGGCACCATGATGCCAGTGAAGAAAAGAACCTCATGTTTTGGGGTTTACAACCTCCTCTGAAGTGAGATTAGAAAATATTTTCTTGGTAATTTTTCTACAGTACAGTGTTATGAGAATCTGGAGTTGCTCAAAGCCTTTCCAAAGATATCTCAGGTATTGTCAGTAAGATGAATGCAACCTGAGATGTCCAAGAAGGGGAGATAATGGCAGGCTGCAGCCAAGTGTTGGATTCATGTGTCAATCATTTGTGAATGAACCAACAAGACATACAGAATTTAGAAGAGTATTGAATAGATGAAAAAAAAAATGCCCAGAGCACAACTTTAGTGTCTGATTGGTAGGAAAAGCATGTTTTAAAATTGAAGTAAGGTTTCTGGCACAGCAGAATTCTGACTCTCTGCAAGAGGCTCCACAGAAACTGTCACTTTCTAATATTAGATATTGGTTAACTGTGATTGCTGTCTAGTTTTAAATATTGTGGGGTTTTTTTCACCTACTGAGAATGGTCTAACTTTCCCACCCATATATGTGCATGCAGCATATAGAAGCATTTATTATTTGTGCTATTGCATTGCTCTCTCTAAATTATGAGGATGCACTTTATGACTTTTTAAGCTCAGTTCTCTGTTACAAATGAGTGTCTCACACCAAGATTTTTGAATGTGTGGTTGGTTTTTTTTAGCTCTGAAACACAGGTCCTTAGTTTCACCTCACAAGTCCATTTTTCAGGAACTGATACTCATTGCCATTAATGCTGGAAGGTGAATTTGAGAAAAACATGACACACAGTCTTCAAGGTACATAAGCAGCCATGGAAGCTAATAATTACTCCACTGACCTCAGTGGGAACAGTCAAGAATACATTATGCACATGCTTTAATTACCTTGCTCATTCAGGACCAAAAATCAAGAAAGACCATAGTAAAAACCTGTTTAAGACATTTCATTAAAATCACTGGAGTGGGGTGGTAGAAAGAGAGATGAGGATTTCACTTGTACTAAACAGCCAATCTCATGACAATCTATAAGGGACAAGGCAGCAAGATAAAGCTGGGGCCTGGGGTTGTGGAACAAAAAGTTAGCACACTGTGACAGTCCTCCTGGTATATGGAGCAATGTACATGTGCTTTGCTTATTCCAGATCTATTTATATGCTTAGGATTAAGATCTGCAATGGATTAATAAATAGATCAAAATAGTTTAAAGTAGATTCATATTCTTATTTTAAAAAAAGTTGCTGACTCTGAAGTCAGTAACTGGTATCAGATGCATTTAGAAAAATCTATATTTGTCATACCCTGAATCCTATTCCCTTTAGAGGACTGAATGACAGAATTCATTGTTCATTCTATTGTATCTTCAGAACTTAGATATTTAAAAGGCCAATTTATTTAACCAGAGATTTATTTTCAGTTCTTGCTGTATTTTTTCATGTGTAGAATATTTCCCACAGCAACTTCATTTCTTCCCTATGAAATAAGAATTACCCTTGAATCAGGCTCATTCCCTGAATAAGGCTCAGAACAGAACTGCTGAATATTTTATACAATCAGCATTTGCAAAATGACTTGTAGCTGCCTTAGGCATAGAGAACCATGACATGGAGACTCACAGCACCTCCACTGAAGTCACTGGAGTTTGTTGAAAGACAATTGATTTGCCTCAGAATATAGGATTAAAGTGATATACTCTTCTAATTTTAGAGTAACCGACATAGCATATTCAAAATATTCTTAATGCACATATATGTCTATGTTAATTTAATATTTTTCTATTATATATTAATATTTCTATATTAATTTTTAAACTATTTTTCTTAAAAATAAGATGTTGCAGGACACATTAACATATATCCTTTGGAACAGGTTCATTCTGACTTTCATCTCCTGACCATTTTTAAACAGTTTCTGAGTGGAAAATATTTCTTTACTTAGCAGCTGGATACACTCAATTTACACTACAGTTTGCCAAAGGATTTGTAAGACCCATTAGCTTTAACATGCACAGGTGTACCCATCTCATTTTATGGAGCTGCAAGCTGGATTCAAGTCAAACAAAGACTTGTAAACTTATGGGTAGGTTTATATGGAAGAGTCTCAATGTTCTCTTCTGAAAATAGTAGGGTATTAGCATTTAACAGATTGGCTTTATAAGTGTTTAAAGAAAAGATATCATCTAGGAACAAAGTGTTGGAAGGGGATTACTGGGTCACTGAGTTGACTCATTTTTCCCAGTTGCAGGAATTGCAAAATGTGACCAGTCCATTCCCTTACCAAGAGCCATAATAACATTCCTTAACAGTTTGCCCCATCTCAGAAAGCTCTTTCATGATTCACTGCTGAGATAACCAAAAAATCTCCCAGTTGCCAGCCTAAATGTATTTACTGACATTTTATGGTGTTTGTTTTGTTTTGTTTTCCTCTGTTGGTGTGGCACATGCTGGGCAGACGGGACTGATGGCAGCACTACATACTTCAACTGCTTTGGGAAGACCTCTGTGCACAACTTCTATTACCACTGTCATTGTGGAAAAATAGCTGAATGTCTATCTAAACCCAAAGGACACAGGAGATTAGGACCCCTGTAAATAATAATTAATGGTGTACAGTAATATCTGTAAGATATAAGCCAAGGGCTAGTATAAGATAGAGAGTGGCCTCCCAGATCTGAAACACAGCCAGTGAGCTTTGGCCTAGAGGCTGAGAAACTTCTGCACATTTGGAAGGCAAACAACTTGATCAGAGAATATCTAAATTTAGGGCTGGCTAATTAGTTGGTCAAATAATCTCAAATTTGTTGTGCAGGAGCTGTGTTCAGCCACTGCAGGGAATGAGGGGATGTGTGGAGGACTGGAAGAATACTCAGGGGTTATGGAGATGGGTGTTGGTGAGGAAGAAGGCAGGGACCAGTGATGGCTGCAGACTTATTGTGGAAGGAAATAGGACATGGGCATTTCAATGGGGAAAACATGAGGAAAACTGGTTCACTGAGTGGCAACATTTTAAAGGATAGTTCAAGATGAACATTTCCAAAAGTAGTAATAAATTTGTTCATTGCCATGTGATAATGACAGAAGCAACATTATAACTTTTCTCATGAAATTTAAACAAAAAATGAAATCAGCATTTTAAAAATTGTGTTTGTATGCTTATTTTCAAAATGAGGCAAATATTTTGTTTTGCTGTTAAAAAAATTAAAACAGCATAAGTAATTAAATGTACAAAAGCCAGAGCTATTAAGTCAGAAAGTACAAGGAAGGGATATAACAGCAGAATTTCAAAAGGGAGCACACATTTCAGATACAGCAAAAAGATAATTGAGATGCCAGGCTTTAGTCAAAAAGAAATTATACAGAAAATACAAGAAGAAAAAGTGCTGTAATAGAAGTTCATGGTAAAGAAGAACTAAGTTTTACTGCAGATGAATCTTAATCTAAATAATTTAATTTCAACCCTGAGTGCTTCAGTTTTAGGCACTTTTATTTCAAAGTAGTCACTGCCTTTCCATGCATACTTAACAGGTGTTAAGTTCTAATGCCCCAGTTTAGGCTTTACCTGGGTTCAGAAAAAGAACTGGGGAAAAAAAAGCATGAAAATATCAAGACTAATTAAAACAAAGCCAGAATCCTTTCAAAGCACCCAAAACACCAGAACCTGGGAGAGTATTTGCAGGAAGTGATATATAATGTGAAAGCTCTTCTCTCTTCGCCCTTATTTAGACATCAAGTCCTGGAGAGAAAAACTTTTAGCTGATACAATGTGGACACATTTATACTGTACCTGCAACCATTAGAAAAATGCCAAATACTCCCAAGAGGCAAGTCTCAAATCTTAAAACTCCCAGAAAAGCAGCTGAATGATGCCAGCAGGTCAAATTTCTGGATGAAATAGTAACCAATTCTTTGCAATAGCAATCCCAGAACTGTCACCCGATTTCTTGTCCATACCTTTGGGCAACCTCCTATGTTGAGAGATGTCAGTCTGTGGCAGTGAAATGCCATTGTTTTCACAGCTTCATCTATCAGCTGAGGGCAGTAAGAGACATGGCAGTGTTCCAGGTATTCTGTGCCCTTGCAGAACTCAATTACAGTGCTTGTACATCAGTCCTTTGATCCACTTCCCACACTTCAGTTCTCTAGGTACCCTTCATTAGTAATGAAGTCATTCTGCCATTGACTGGGAATGTCACTAGAAAAAGAAGAAATGCATTAAGGGGCTATTTTCAGTTGTTTATATGTTATACTGTGGGTTCATTAGACTAACATTTATGTAAGTTCCTCTGTATGTATTAAACCATGTTGAATTTGGGTTCTTTAAATTGAGCACAACCCAGAACGTAAAATGTTGATATTAGAGAACCAGGCCCAGATAAATTCATTCTACTGCTCTCTGCAAATGCCCATTTTTGTGCATAACAACTTCTTCTTCTTCTCTTTTAAATGAACAGAAAACTGTATCTGTATAAATCACTTTTTTTTTTGGAAGGGAATGGGTAAGAACCTCAGGACTGTCACTCAAGAGTTCTGGGCTCTGATTTGCTCTGTGGAGTTCAGGCCAGTTAACTGTGATACTGGTTGACTACAATTTCTATCCTTGTTTTTAGAGTGAATAAACATTTGCAGGCACTACTGACTCCAACTCCAGAACCTTTATAACTCAAATACTAGCTTTTTCATGTATTCTGTAAAGCAGACAGTCTTGGAAAATAACAATGGAACTCTTGTGAAAGGTCACTTGGATTCTTAAAATGCACTTTTCTCCTTTGCACTCCGAAACTTTTTTACCTTTCAGCCTGAATGTTTTCCAAGCCTGAAAACCATCATTTCTAGGCTTACAAAGAGAAGTTAGACCTTCTACTGAAACCTTCTCTGGAAACCTCTTGAAAAGAGTTGCTTAAAATCACATTTAGGATCACAGGACAGCCTGCAGCTCTACCAGAGGTTTATCTTCAGTCAGAATCTCTCCTCTTCTGTCATGTCCAGCCTCAAACCCTGGTGAGAAGCCTTCAATGTGTCACTGAGCAAGGTTCCAGCCTGCTAATCTTGGCCTTAGGCCAGAGTAATTTGTCATTTGCTGGAATAGCAATTCTACTATACAGGGAGAACAAGGAAGTACATAGAGTATACTGAATAAAACCCACTGGTTGCATGAATCTTTTCAAAGCTTTCAAGAATTAGTCCTGAGGTAAAAAGAGTAAGCAACACATGGATAAATAAAATGTGTGCACATACACAAAAATGCATGTATTTATTATGCACAAATATTATATATTTATATTTATATTATATATATTCTAAAAAAATTACCTCTGCAGTAATCAGCCACTAACACACAGCTAATTTTTCCTTATGTTACATAGGAACTCACACAATAACACAGGGCTGATCACTAGAAAATATTATTTTTATTATGAAAAAAGATTATGTATTTCTGTGTGATTTTCATAAGTCTTACCTAAATAGATGCAAAGAAACCTATCAGATCTGAAATTTGTTTCATAGACTGTACTTTTAAGATTTTTGTCTATATCTTCACTCTGGTTTCATTTTCTTTTTGTCTATTGGTACGCTATATCAGGGCAGTTTTTCTCAGCTTTGGGTCCTTGTTTTGTTTTACAAAATATTGGAAGTGTCAGTGTTTGAATCTAGGATTGGTTAAAGTGGAAAATTCAGAATCTCTATTAATTGGCTTCTCTACCGTTCCTATTTCAATTTTGGATTTATGGGCTGCTTTTCACCTGTAATACAGAAACACTCTTCACCCAGCAACTAAATGTTTTTCATCCATGTGCAAGAGAAACTGCAATCCTTTCAGAATTAGGCCTCAGATGTGATGACTTAATCACTACATTCTCAGCTAGGGTATGTAACACAAGGTGAAGCCAAGATTTCAATGCCTGTTAGATATGTTTATCTTGTTTTTATTAGCATAGCTTTTCTACATACTTATTTAAAATATCCTTCAAAGTTAGGTTCTGAATTTACTCTTAACTTTAGGTCTACCCCTACATGCTTTTGCAAATAACATTCAAATTATATTTGCAATCAAAAGAGATGGAGCTTTGTTTGCTCACTTCATCTCTGTGTCCCTCGTTATATATCTATAGAGAAAATAACAGACAAGGATGTGAGGGTAAATTATGTTTACAAGACATTTAGTCACTATAAAAAGTCAAATGTCATATGAAGAAAACATAATTTTCCAACTTAATTGCACAATTTTAATTGTGCATAAATAAGGCCTAAGGACACACACAAACATCAATGAAAAGGTCAAATACTAAATTGCTGTTCATTAAGTGAGCATCATCTGAATTATGAATGAACAAGGATCCTGTTTTCAAAATATGGGATCTCATAAGTGTTTACATTCTGTTACAGTACCTAGGAACAGGCAGTGGGATTACAATGGAATTACCCTCTGCAAATTTTCCATAAAATCATATCCTTTGATTCAATTTCCAAAAATGACTTTTTATTTTGTTTTGAGTTACTCTGTATCTCCTCTTCTGTCTCCTGCCTTCCCTAGATCCATAAAAACGGGGCTTCTGCAACTCCCACATGTGCTCCCTGCTGCTGCTTTTTCCTCAAAAAAGTTCAAATTCATTTGGCACCCAGGGAAAGCAGAAACCCTTCTTTTTAACAGTCTTTTTTTTTATTTCCTCTGTGTAATGAGACACCTGAAATAGCTTCTTGACCATGAGCATAGCACAACACAGAAGTGAATATTCCCCTCTGAGAGCAGCAGCACTGGCACCACACGACTTTCCATGAGGTACACAAGATGCACATACTTGGTCATTAGTGAAAACATGGATCTTTACACAGAACATTCATGAAAGATGAGTCAGAATTATTCCTAGAGAAGCAAATGGCCTGACATGTACATTGAGCAACAAGATCCAATCCAGATGTAGCTCTTGTGGTACAACAACTGACTCATTTTTACAATATATGGCTATAAAATGGTGGATGTTGAAGATTTGTAATGGAAAAACTGTAGAAGCTGAGGACTGGGATTATGTGATGGCATTGGCTGTACCTGCAGCCTTATGATCTGCAACTGTTTATGGGCATGAAATTGAGACCATTAAAAATATATTATTTAAGCATTTCTGTTATATATAGTTAGGAACAATTCTCAGTTACAAAAACAAGTGCTCTTATTTGGATGTCAGTTCCTAACAAGATAGATGTTCTTTCTACTACTGTAAAGTTACCTGCTAGTGTTTATTTCTCATACTGTTTGGAAATACAAAGTAAAATACAAATACAAAGTAAATCTATGCAATCATATTGAGTTTGTCAAATCTCCAAACAGATTTTGGTTAGCTTCAAGCAACCTGTGATAAGGTTGAGAAATGTCACAGTTTAACCATACATTTTGGAAACAGTAATTTCCTCTTCATACTGAATTTTCAAACCAAGCTGATTTCCTGCCCACTAGGTTCTGCATGGAAGTTAACAGCAAAAAGCTGTCCCCTCTTCACCCTTTTCAAGGCAAAATTGAACAGATCTCAGGCATATGGCATTGTAGGAATGAAAGGGGGGATTTTTTGATGTAGAATGGTGTTATGATGAATGAAGGATGACATGCAGAACAAAAGATCAGTTTTGGATATGGTTAATTTAATGAACTAGGGGTGCTTCCAGGGAACACCAAGAAAAAGGCAAAGTTTTTACCTGAATCCCATTGTCACTGAAGTTTTTGCATTGTGATATAGAAAGTTCCAATATTTTTCCATGGCAACCAAGAGCTCTCAAACCCTAAAAAAATTTGGAAAAATTAATAGAGAAAGGGGGAAAAAATCGGTTTTCCTACCTCTTGAGAAACAAAGCAACTGAAGAAAGGTAATGTGATGTGAAATACCTCCACCAAAACACATTTACATATCTCCACAATTTGGGGTGGAAGAACTTTTCACAATTTTTTTTTGGGAGGAGGTGTGTTGTTTGTTTGGTTTGGTTTATTTGGGTTTTTTTGTTGGAAGAACAAAATACTACTTGCTAAGACCAAATGTCTTAAAATTGCTGCCTTACCATTAAGGGCTTTATGGCTACAAGGCAACATTTGAAATGGTGCTGTCACACTCAAAAGTGTATGAACAGCCCCCTTATTTAAGACAATAAGGACTTCCATTAGGACTGCAAAAGGATCTGAAAATGCTTTGTGAATTTTACTGCTTCTACACCAGGAAACAGGGCAATGTTCTGATCCTAAATGCTCTAATGTAAAGGAAAATTAAGTGTTGATTTTGTAAAACTAATTTTTATAATCACAACAGAATATCGCTGTACTTCATATCAATAAAGTAAGCTTTACTGGAAAAAAAAAGTTGTCCCTTTATTCCATATGGTTAATAAGTTATCTACAATTAGGCTGTGAACAGCACTGCCTAATTGTAGGCAGAGAGGAAGTATCCTCCTGAAAAAACAGGCACATGTAGATAGTGTCTGGATCCCAGATGTGGACACTGTAATGATAATGCTGGAAGAGTGCGGCTGGAGTTCAAATTTTGCAGATTCCTGAAATCTCACAAGCTGGATAGATACAAAAAATGGAACAATAAAAGAAGTTTCCAATCCTGGCTACTTATGAAAACACAAAACTTTGCATTTTTCTCAGCAGACGCAGTTGTCTGGTGAAATCTACTTTCAACAGCTTTCGTGCAAATCCACAGATTTCAAATTTTTGTTGACCAGAGTAGTCCTATTCAAGACAATAAAATAGTTATGTGCTTAAACCTAAAATGGCTTTATGCCAGAACTTGAATTTCTTACAGCAAAGACTCATGGTCTGATAGGTGTAATCTCAAGGATATAATTCTTGCACTTTACTTAAAAGTGACACCACTTGCTAATGAGAAACTAAAGAATATAATAAAGATTTTTTTGCTACATGACAATTAATTCTGCTATCACTTCAAAGTTAATTTATAATCATTTTATATTACTAAAGTGACATTAAATCACAGAAAAACTATTTTTATAAATGAAAATCAATACATTGAGGCATTTTGTTAACAATTACAGATTTAAGAAAAAGAGTGAAGACTTGAAAGACAAGGAATGTCATTAGGACATTACATAAAATTTATGAAACTTTCATCTTTCCAAAAAGAAACCTCTTCAAACAATCTCTATGCAGAAAGATTAATCTATATGAATTTTTAAACTATTATTTTTGTATTTAACATACATACAAAGGCATCAATTAGCACTAGTTTTATTAGACTTCCTGATTTATTCCCTGATAAATGTCAGTGACCACCATCCAGGATATTCACCTATTTCTGGAAAATTTCATTTTCTATACTAAATCTCCTCACATTTATGGAAGATATGGTTGGAGTTATCATATTGGAACTCCTGGAAACAGATTCTGGCAAAACAAATACTGTGCAAGCCACAGACTAGGACTACCCACTCAAGAATCACCTACTCTCCAAAAACCTATTTCTCCTTTAGTCAATAACTTACTCCTGTATCTTGGATGCATATTCCATTGCTATGGAGAAAGGGAAGACTTTGTCCAGCATCTCTTCTATAGCATATTGTCATTTCCATTTGAAAACAATTTAAAAATAAACTTCTTGATCCTCTGTAACAGCTATTTTTTTCAAGTAATTTTTGCATTTTTGTTCTTTTTCAGTTACTTTATATCATATATCATATGATATAAATCATATGATATATATATGATAATATTTATATCATAAGGCCTACAGACATTTGCAGAACATCATTTATTATTTTTCCACCATGGTTTCTGTGGGTAAGAAAATGACTATTGACTGTACCAGTTGGTGAGGGTCTTCACTTGCTAGAGACAAAAGCCACCTGAGGCTATGACATACCAAGAAATAACTCCTCATTATTTATATTCTCATGCTGAAAGTCTCTGCCTTTCTACTGCAGACTACAATGAATGTCTTGTCTCTCTCTAACAATAACCATGTGCTAGGATATTTCCAACTTCTTCTGAGATCTCTGTCCACATATCTCTTTGCAACCTTCAAGGTCAGCATCTGTAATGTATCTTTGTTCCACAGATATACAGATGTTGCTTCCTGCTCATACTCCAAACCAAACAGATTGACTCCAATGTGACTCCAGGCCTTGGACAGCTCTTAAGAGGTGTCTCCCACCATCTATGCCTGAGCCATTTACTATTCAAGTACTTAAATTATCCTCTAAAATGCTCAGATTTCTGCACAGTTTAGCCACAGTCAGGCACCAGTGTCATGGATTGAACACTAGAAGAGAAAAAAGCAATTCCTATCATGCAGATTCATTTTGCTATTAAAAATTCATATGTGTCAGGACAAAGTTCAGATTCACATAGTAAAAACCTCTGGGAAATGGGTAAGCAAATGTAGCTGTATTGTTTCTAATACCTGAGCTAATATGATGGTGGGCCAGACCTGTTTTCAGGAACTGCAGGGACATTTTTCTCCTGCAGTGTAGAAATCCCACTGTATAACACATGCCATAAAATTCAATTTCCATACCTAACACCACTTGTGGTTAGACCAGGTCATAGTTTAGAAACTATGATTGCCAGTGTTTCTTGAGACAGTCCAGATGACAGGGATTCCATTGTGACAAAATATCCTGTAACAACATCAAGCCTGATTTTCCACATTGCTGAGTACTTTTAATTGCAGCTGATTTGCATTGGGACTCCAGGTGCTGGCACATCTGGCATTGATCACAATGACTCTGTTTTAGTATTTCCTATATTTTGTAGCATTAAGTTTCTAAGTCTCCAGATTAAATGCTCTCTTTCTCCAGTCTCCTAAACAAGTTGGAATTTGGAGCCCACTTAAATACACTTTAACTTTTCTTTTTCCCTGCCTTGGGAATGTGTGGGATTTGTCACATCCTTTCCTTTGGAAATCAAATGCAACTAATTCATTTGCAGTCTGTAGCTGGTTATATCTATTAGACCCAATGATATCTTTTTCTTAACTGTTACAAGGCTAACTGTTCCTCAGTCCTAATGGCCTAATTTTCTAACAGACTAAAAAGCAAAGTCAGACTACGGGTTCGAGTCACTGCAGATTCAGAATCCCACTGAGTGCTAAAAGAGTGCTAAGAGTGCTAAAAAATTCCCCTAGATTATTGTGGAAATTCGAAATGCCATTTTTGTTTGGGCAGGGTTTTCTTCCCCTATTTAGAAACTTATTATTAAAATACTAGTAAATATTTGTGTTGCAGCCTGGCCCTCAGGACGAGTCAGGATGTGAAGATCATTAACACATAAGAAGTGAAAATGGAGCTAAGTGCTTACTCATTCATATAACCTCTATTCTGGAGTACCCAGTGATTGCAAAGCATGCCCAACTTTAAACAGCACACACCAGTAACTCATCCAGAAGAGAGAATGGGGCCTTAAATAATTACAGCAGAAAATTTCATGCATGAGGGTGTCACAGCACATGCTGCAGTTAAGGCAGCCACAACACACAGAGCATCACCATACAATATCAGAAAGCTTCAAGCATCAGCCCATGCAGAGCAGCACCTTTTCAGAAGGCTTCAAGCATCTGCTTTTCTTATTCTTTAGCTCAACCTTTTTCTATTCTTCACCTTACATGCTTTACACCTGTGTGCCCTCTGCTCCCTTTGGTGTTGGTCAGTGCCCCTGGGCACCCCCTGGCTCATTGCTGTCAGTGCTGCTCACCTGCTGCTCACAGCTGTGCCCATTGGGGATGAGGCTCAGCCACAGCCCCATCCCAATTGCCACAAACTGTACTTCCATGACAGTCACCACAGAAGTGGAGAAGCAGAGAATATTTCTGTGTACTTTGTACATCCTTTTATCCTTGATTTCAGAAGCGATTCACAGTTGTTCCTATTTTTAAAGTATTGTACCTATTTTTTATGTTTCAGCTATTTTTTTCTTTCTTATTATTACACTGCATATAACTCACCCCTGATATTAAGCTTCTCCATTAAGCTTGCCTCAGCCTATGTCAGGGCTGTTTTTGTTCCTGGATGCTTTATGTAACTCAGGAGTCAACTAAGCTTATTATTCTTTGTTATGTTTTTCTGTCCAAATCCTGCTTGATTAAAGACATTTTCTTCAAATGTCCTAATACTTTTATACCAAATTGCTTTTCTAATATCCCAGGAATATGGGTGGTCCAGGCCATATGCATCAGCAGCTTGTGTTGGAAGGAGGGAAGTGGGGCAGCTGCAGGCTCTCAAAATCACCCTTGGAGCAAAGCTGCCAGAACCTTGTCATGTAGGCATTGGGGAGAAATCAAGACATTTTAGCAAACATATGGAGAGTGTAAGAATAAAATTTGTGACTAGAGCTGCTTCTCTATCTCATGGAAGCAGTTCCAGTGAGTCTGCTTTCCTGAGACAGATGGATTTTGGTCCTAAGTGCTGATGTTACCATCTCTGTAATAGAAGCTCCTATCCCTTGCATATATTGTAAATAATTTTAGAGTGTTATCTAAAATTTTTGTAATGTTATCTCTGCATTCATGGACACATTCACCATACTCACAATTTAAAATGCTATAGTCCCTATTGCAAGGAGTTTAGAGGAGCAAAACATGAGGCAAAACAATGAGGGATGGAAGGATAGCTAGAAAAAAAAGAATCTTCACAAGGATTTTAAACTATCTGTCTTTCAAAGAACTCAAGATCTTTGCTCTGTCATTGCATTCTTGCTTTATTTTTTCAAAGAATTGTCTCAAATATTTTAATTTCTAAAATTCTTTTAAGTTCCTATAATTTTAAGAAACTAATCTCAAGTACTTCAAGAATGACAAAACCAGATGTCCTACTATCAAAAAATATTATTGAGACTTAAAAACTGTGTGTTGTTTTAAAAAAAATTGAATAAAGGAAATATTTTCTGAAATGTAAAAGGATGAATTCTAAAATTAAAGAGTGAAAAAATTAACATTTAAAATGTAATTGTTTGGGGTTTTAATTTAATGTTATGTATTTTCTGAGAGTAAGAGCAATATAGTCAAAGCCCTAATGAGAAAAGCATAGAAACTTCATTATGCCACCAGTTCCTCATATGCTTGAAGTTCAGTTCCTTTTCATTGCATATTTGCTTTTGTTAATGAATGGTCTTATTTATCAAGACACTTAAGCAACATGCAACTTAAACATGATATGAATTAATTCCCTTTTTCTAGCTAGGGTTCACAAGTTTCCCTAGGCATATTTTTTCATGCAAAATGTACAACTTTCCATGCAATACCAAAATCTGAACATGTGCAGTGATTACTTTTATTCAGTTTCCAATTTTCAGTTGAGAAGTAGGCTCAGGATAAGTAGAATAAACTCCTCCAAACATTAGACTTTTAATATATGTGTTTGAAGTAGCAACAGAAGAAAAAGGCACCAACACTGAGGGAAAAACTTCCATTTTGATTAAGTTATACCTGAGACACAAATATATCAGAAACTATATTGTATCTTTTCTGCCCTATGTTCCCATAAGTATATGTCAATCCTTATTGCATGAAATTCTGCTCTGCTTTGGGGGGCAGAAGGATTCTGCTGTCATTTGGAAAAACAGAAAGGAAAATCCTCTTATGTAGTACAAATCTAAATTGCACCTTCTAAGTTTTAAACACTAAAGAGCAAGACTGGAAAAGCAGGAGAGATCCACAGCACAGACTGCTGGAAAGAACATGAGCTTTACAATTTTTCTTTATTTAACACAGCATATGGGTGTTGATTACTGTACATGAAACACTGTGCTCTCTGTTGCATTTTCCAACCAATACTTAGCCTAAGCTGACAGAGATCTCTATATGCTAATAAAAAGTATAATATAAAGCCAAAGCATACAAATAGTAGCCTGTTACAGAGCAGACTGATGGGTTTCCTTTTATCAAGTAAAGTTTTAAGAGTAGGAAATGTATTTAATAATTAATGTATTTATTTTATATGTGCATGAATTTTACATCTTAAATACAGCAAACAGATATAACCACAGGTTTTTTCCTACCATAGCTCTCAGAAATTACAAAAATTAAAATGCTCAATTTATCTGTCTTGTGGGAGAGAGAAAACTGCAAGCCTTAGCAACACAGTGTAAGCAGAAAAGCTTGGTTTGTTGCCAAGGTCATGGGTTGTGCTATGGGGAAACTAGAGTAAGAAGAAACACAGCATTTTAAAAGGCTAGCTGTGGCAAGCAAAGAGAAACAAAACATTTTTTTTGTAACATGTGGGACTAAATTCAAGGCAGCATAAATTTCATTCAGATATAATTGTGTGATATTTTAAATGAGCACATTAAGTGAAGTCTTCTTGGATTCCCTAACCCTCTTTATTTAACTTAAGTTTTTTTCACTTTCTGGCGTCCATAAAAGATACAGACATTATAATATTTTTTTTCACATTCCAATTTTTTTTGCACAAACTTTGTGTTACAGCCAAATAATGAAGTTCTCAGTCAGAATTATGTCTGGACAGTGACTGAGTGAGTAGTCTCTATGGAAAGTTATCTTGACAAGGACTCTATTAGATTTCTGTGTTCGGTGCAAAGAGTTTGTCCCAAAAGTAAAAGTAACAGCTTTCACAGGGCAGGACCTGCCAATGACAGAGGGGACCTGACTCCCCTCTGTGCTCTTTTTTGCTTTCCAGTTTTAGCAGCTTGACATATTGAAGATACTTTGTTAGTAATTCTTTCATTGGCAATTGTTTTCTAGCCCACAATGGAGAGCAGTGCCTCTGTTGGAGTTAACACTCAGCTCTCTCAGCTTAACTTCTGAAGAACCTTGTAGAAATGGCCTTACACTTACACTCCATCACTGATCCCAAAAGATAAATGCAGGCAATATTTATAATCAATACTTTTCCTAATCTGTACAAGTCAATATGCAGTTTGGATTCAGCAGCCAACAGTGAAGATAAGCAAAAATTAATGATGGCATTTTTAAACTAGACCTTTAAATCCCCCCAAAGAGTCAGAATAACTAATTTCTTAATTAGAAAGATGCTGCTCTTTGGAATGGCTGAAAAACTGAGCTTTCTGAAAAAAAGTCTGTTGGAGATAATGAGAATTTCCATTAGTTCCAGCACTCAGAAATGATCACCACTCCAGATGACAGAGCTTGGGAAACAAATCTAAAAAGACTCGGAACCTGTTTAAACATTTCATTTGCACTAATATACTTTTTTAATTTAAGGAACTGAAATAACTTTAAGGAAAAATGATCTTCTAGCACAGCAGCAGCCAAAGGCACCAGCAGCATTTGTGTGCAATAGCAGTTCTGTACCCTGCATGAAGAGTTAACCTGAGTCCTTCCTCAGAGTGTTTCACTTAATCAGTTGCATGTCTTGCACATAGCTAACTTGTAACACACACAGAGGTTATAAAAATGAAGTAGATAGAAAAGCTTTCAGCCAAATTGAGAGATTTGTATACCTGACTACAGGTCTTTCAAAACTACAGATGTTTCAATACAGTTCAGATCTCTGGTATGTTTAACATTACTGCACAATTAGCTTTTCAATGCATTCCCAGAATTTCTTTTGTGCTCCCTGATGAATAAAAACTTAATCTCAGAATTCTGTAGGATAGAATCAGATTTTGGCTTGTACAGTTTGTTGCAGCACAAAGAATCACTGCAAATCCCAAAGTCCCAGCGCTACTAATGAACTGATAACCTGAACAGGGCCTCATTGTGTGACCACAAAATACAGTAGAAGCTAGAATTCATAAAGTCACCCTGCAATAAGTCAACCACTGTGACAGTTTGGGTATTATTTCACAGTGCAGTTGGTTTTCATTCAAGAGAACAGATAAATTTAAGAAATGCAACTTCAGTATAGCCAACTTTATTATAAAGTCCATAAAGAATGCTGAGTCTGGCAAAAAGTCAACTGAATTTGAAAGGTTAATATTCTGTAACCACACTGAGATTGAGAGCTGAAATGGCCACATTATAACTTTTTTAATAATCAAGGCATGAATACACAACTGATCAACTATGTGACAACACATGCCATACACTGCTTTATCATACATGAGGACAAGAATGCCATCTTTCCTAAACTGGAATTATGTGCCAGGGAGATGAGCCACTACATTGCCTGGGTCCATTTTTAGACATGTTTTTACTCACATCTCTTAATTCTAAAAATCATGATCTATTAATTTTCTTTCTTCAGTTTTCACATGTGGTGGTTTCCTATAATTTAGGAATTCTGATTTGGTAGATTCGAAATTCCCATTCCCCATCCCCCTGGGCCACTTAGGGGAGGGGACAGAGAATTCAAGGGTGAAGCTCAGCCCAGGAAGTAGGAAGGGGTGGGGTGAAAGTGTTTTAAGATTGGTTTTATGTCTCATTACCCTACTCTGATTTGATTGGCAATAAATTAATTTCTTCCTCTGGGTCAAGTCTGGTTTGCCTGTGACAGTAACAGGTGACTGATGTCTCCCTGTCCTTACCTTGACCCACAAACACTTTGCTGTATTTTCTTTGTCCTGTCCACTGAAGTAGTAAAGCAGCTTTGGTGGGTTCCTGGAGCCCAGGGTCAACACACCAATGAGTTTAGATGTAAAATCTGTTACTTTGCTAATGCTGACACATTTGAAAGTGCCTGGAAAAGCAATAAAATGAGTGGATTTCTACAATACCCTTACTAGTGCTTAAAAATTTTTTTAGGATAATCCAGCCATTCTTTAGCAGTAGAAGCAATCGACACGTGCAAGCACAGTCACAGCCCATGATTTGGCTGACAGACTGGAAAACCCAGCCTGCTAAATGTTAAACCAGAAAATGCAGGCAGCTGTCCCACCTGCCCAGCTAAACTACCAACAGGATAACGTGGTATTGCTCCAGCACTTTTCACTTGCTCCTCCAGGCAATATTATCAGATTTTTATATGCCAACAGGCACAAAAAAAGCGTCCATTACACTTTAAAGGAGAATCTCTAAAAGTTCTCATGGTGTCAGAAACTTTAGGATCAACAGTAATTCCAACTTCTTTGTATTATTTTACAGGTCTTTTTTAATTTTGAAATGTTTGTAAGCTTTGTCTTCCCTTTTCTCTCTCACCCTTGACTCTATCACTGTATCACAAAACAGGGATCAAATGTGCAGCTTTGGAACTCCTTCCATTTGTCTTTGTTTCTAGAAAATATATTCTTTCTCTGTATGCATTACCATGTTTTCTTGATAATGGTAAAAAATTGTCAATTTTATTTATTTCTTAGTATTAGATAGTAATAAAGCATTACTTCAATATTCACAAAATTAAATAATATCCAAGTTTCAAGAGAATTGTGACAATGGAATTGTGACAATTGTCTTTGGTTATCATGTTCTTTTTCATAGCCACATTCCAGTACTATAATATGCCATGGTAATTAAGTGACACTACATCAATGGTTAATTGTTTTTTGTTTGAACTGGAGTAACAATGAATGAATTTTTGAAAACATGATACAGGAACAAAGCTATATGTATAAAATGTTTTTCAAAACATTAAGATATCTATACTTAGATTCTAAGAATTTATTTTTAAAGCAGAAAGGTGTTTTAACAGGACTTATTAAAAGTAAAATTAACTTTAGTACAATCCCTTTGCAATCATTACAGAAATCTGATGTGATCCAGTGCCTTCTGCAGTCTGCCATATTCAGTACAAGAATATACTTCAATGGTGAAATCATCTTAACACCAGACTCTGTAATCCACTGGCAATCAGCCACATGAATGTGCCTCATGTAGGGGCAGCATTTACTCATCAGCTTGAAACTTAAATCAGCATTTTGGTTATTCCCAGTCGAAATATTTAAGATGCAAGTTACACATCTGACATACATTAAAAGCATGATCCAAATACCCACTGAAATCAGCTGAAAGATTTATTTCAAATTATCTGAATGAATTGCAAAAATACATAACCCTAATATTTTTTTTATCATTATACTAATCTTCAATGCTGACCTTCAAAAGTTTACATTCTGCAAGGGCTTTAAAAGTTGTGTCAGAAAGTTTTGGAGAGTCAAGAAAGACAACAGACATTACCTGTTGACATTTTTCAACCAGAGCCTTTGAAGAAAAAAGGTGAAATTAAACATCCATATGTTCATGATGTCATGTAGGGGAAAAAGATCAGCAAATATTCTCCATATAATATCAAAAAGTTAAAATTTCAAACAAATAGTTAAAATCCATGTAACAGTAGCTTCCAGAGAGTGAGTGGTACATAAACCACTGAAATTCTCCATAGGGTTATTATGTTTGGGAACACAAGGAAAAGAAGGAACAAGGAAAAGAAGCAAGTACCTGGAGACATGAATTATGGCAGACACCAGAGACAGTGATATGGTTAACAATCACTTTTGCAGAAGCCTGGCAGTTCTTTTTTGATGGGCAAAATCAAAATCAGTAGCAGAATGCTGTTCCCACATATTATAGTTGCTTAACCACTGAAAGAAATGAAATGCTCTTGTTTATAAACTGGAAGACCATAATTCAAACATACCAATGAAAAAAGAAGACAAGACAATTGAAGTTTTCTGACAGTGAATGCAAGTGAGCAAGATTTTTAAGCAAATTCAATGACAGTAAAAAATTCTTTTGTTTAGAACTTCTCCTCTTGAATTGATTCTTACTTTGAAGTCATTTGAGAGGATAGCTGATTTCCAACATCATAAAGTTTCTCAAAAAGTACAGTTTATTTTCAGTTTCTAACAAATACATCTCTCTCTAAGAGTTAACATTTTGCTGATTAGCAGATCTTGAATCTAATTGCAGCCATTGGCAGTATTTTTGAAGACATCAGCTCAAATTTACACAAGAAATTAAATGTTTATATCTTAGCAAGCCTAACAAAAACAGTACAGGAAAAGCTTGAGATCTTCTCAATGCTTTAACATCTTACCTAGGCACATAGATGCTCACTAAAACAAGAAAGGCATTTATCTCACTAAAAGAAAAACAGATACAAATTGCTCTAAAATTTAAACATAATCTAAGGGATCTGTTAAAAAAATGTGTCCTCTAACTAAGCAAAAGTCAGGTTCAACATTTTCTACAGCTGAACCATTTATGGAAGTGGCAATGAATGTTACTGTCTCAATATTCTGCCTTTGTTTTCCCAACCTTACAATTTACATACCTATGGTAGATGTTGAAATTCAGTTTGAAGCAAGTTCTGAATGTAATAAAATATCTTCATTATTTCTTTCCAGATCCACAGTAAAATGTGCATTAGATTCAGAGTGGGTACAAGGAAAGGTCCTCTGCAGTCACAATAATATTGAGCTCTTCTACAGAATCCTTCATGCAGAACCACAACAGCTCTGCCTACTCTAACAGTGCAATATTCAGTGAAATCACAAATGGACTGATGCATCTGTCAATTCAGTTTATTCCTTTTATCACTTCAGGGAGACAATTCTTTAGCTGCTTAAATTCAATAGATGTCCATTCACTCTTGGGCATACAGAGTGTTTCTATTCACATATAAATGCTGTGCAAACGACAGTTTCTTTTCAGCTTCTACACAAAGCATAGATTGAACAATTCCTCCCCATGAAGTCCCCCTGATATTTGCATGTAGAGATCTCACTGTTTTCCAGGCTTTTGAAGGTGTGCAATATAACAGTTGATGGTTGAACTTGGGGATCTTAGAGATCTTTTCCAACCTTAATGATTATATGATTTTATAGTAACCCTGTGCAGCTCAGACTACAGCCCCAGGAATTCACTTGCAAAACATCCACAGGAAAAAAAGTAGTCTGGCATGTCCTCCTGGGTACCAAATAAGGCCTGTGGAGAGAAGAATCCAAAGAAGGAATCTTGTAATATAAATAGACTGAGAGAGATTTTTGCTGTGCCCCACCTCTCCAGCTGCTTCAGAAGCCTGAGGTGCTTGGCTACCTTGCCTGAGGGGAGCAGCAGTGTAAGGCACAGGCTTTGCTCAGGGTATGAATGTTGTCTGACACCACTAGCAGACAGGAGATGGTCACAGAAAAGCAAGCCAGAAACTGAGCAGCAGCTGATCACCCATCACACCTCAGTATGGTAACAATCCACCAGGACGCTGGTGGATTGTTGTGTCATATGGATAAACTTTAATTTAAACTGTGCCATATGAATAAAACTTTAATTACCATGACTTTATGAGGACATGCTCCCAGTTCTTGCACTTCCAGTCTCTAGCATTTGTAGCACATGACTGGTCCCCACTACTACTTATCAGTGGAAACTAGAATGAAGCCTGCTTTACTTCTATCTTACACTGAGTGAGGAGATTCACACCTTGGGTTTCTGGCTCCTCTTTCTGAAAATTTAGCATTTGGGTTCCTTTTGCATGTGAGATGTTTTTAATGGAGTAAATGACTTTAAGTTATAATCAAGGCAGACTGTCTTTTCTTTTCTGGCATAATGCCTCATCTTTTAACTTATGCCCAGGTTGGCTTGCTCTTTATATTCAGGCTGAAGTGGCCTTTAAAACAGATTCTTTGTCAATTGTTTTAAATGCTTTGATGTTAAAATCTTTTCTTCAATGACTGTGGCACTCTTTGCACATTTTCCTTTGTGCAAAGGGGTGCCAGCCCAGAGAGAAACTGGCTTCGTGTCTGTCAAATGTATTCTTAGACTTAAAGTGTTTGTGCAGATCTCACATACAGACAGACAGACAGACATACAGACAATATGGTGTGGCTCATACACACACTGGCACTTTTAGCACTGTGGATGCAAATAATCTGTTGTGTTTTGAGTTCAGGACAAGTGTAACATATTTGTTTTTCTACAGTGGGTCTGTAACAGCCTGCAAAATGACAGAATGAAAACCCTACTATCAAAATAAATGGAGGAAACATTTTACTGGTCATGCATGATGATATAAACCCCATCATGTCCCATGCCTCTGACAGCTGGCTGTGTTCAAGGTGGGGTCTGATGTGGTGCAGCTGTGTTGTCCTGGATCAGGCTTCTCCAGGAACAGATGTACTCTAAGAAGCAGATGAAGAAGGAAAAAGAGCAGAATCTTGTTCTGAGGCTGCAGGGGGATTATTAAGAAAGAATCATCTCATAACCACAAGCTGGTCAGAGCATGTACAGCCTGTTGGTGCACTCCAGGCTCTCATACCATGTCCAACTGAGATGTGTCTGTTGGACAAAAGGACACTGTGGCTTTGAGAATGTGGTTGATGTGGGCAACACATCAGTGAGGATCTGCAGATAGTACTGCAGACCTCACCATCAGCATGGATAGATTGGGTTTGCCCACCCCAAGTGATTGCAAAAGAACAAGGTGCAGTATAGGGCTACTGCAGCAAAGGCAGACAGTCCTCTTTTCTAGTGGTAGTGATCATCAGAAGATAAATGTCAGAAGGGAAAGATGTGTGCTAATTGTTAGGACAGAATATGAAACTCAGTTTTCCAGATTCCAGTTTTCTACTCACTATTGGTATATGCAATGAGACATAATCCTGTCTCATTTCCTCACCCCAAAATATTCAGTATCTATGAAAGAGAGTAGCTTAATGGTGAATATCTGAGGGATGAATTGGGAAATCTGTACTTTCTGCTGCTGGTCAAGAAGCACCAATTGCTTTAACATGGCATGACCAAGTCATTAAAGCAAGAGTTTACCTAACTCTGCAACAGGCCTCTTGGTTGTTGGCTCTTAAGCAGCACAACAACAGAAAAATAAGAATCCTGGGATCTCGGTACAGCAAAGAGCAACAAAGATCCCAAGACAGGTCTGAATCACCTCTGGGAGACCTCTCCCACTCTCTAATTTCTATATAAATACATTAAGTTAATTTTCTAGTCACTACCTTATCTTAGATGCCTAAAATAAAGTGAAATTCCCATTCTCAAAAGGAGAGATGGTAGATAGCAGGTAATCAGATCAAACTCAGCAATTCTGACAGAAATAGCATGCCTTTTTCTGGAATTCAGTAAGGATTGCATAATGTTAAATGCAGTCTAAAGGACTTTTAATCTCTATCTGGAAAACCACTGTTTGCTTAACATAGACATTTGATACCAGAAATAGCAGAAATCGAGTGCTTTCCTCCATGCAAGCCAAACCAAATGATAGGGAAGCAGTTAATAATAATGCCACTGCACAGGTTGTTTCTAATTTCTTTTTCACTTGAACTGGGTTTTTACTTGAAAATGGATAATGGATCTCAGGCATCAGGTTGAGAAAGTTCCAGTGTGAAATATGCATTGAGATAAGATTAAATAAAATTAATTAACATTTAAATCTTACTGCAATCATTGTATGTCTCTTTCCTTTATTTCTAGAACAATAAAACCTTAAATTTCTTTTCTTTGTCCCCTGTGGATTCTCTATGAAATTTCAGGCACTCTCGAAGATAAGGTACAGAAATGTGAGATTTCTTGCACATTTTAGTAAAATAATTGCTTTCTCAGCTCACTTGGAATTTCTGTGTTTAATAGATTGCCTCAAGAGTGAACAGCTTGGCCTGAGAATTAATGTTAGGATACATATGGAGTTTAATACTGTATTCCTCACCCCAGATGAGTAAAATCCCACTTAAACCTCATCTATCAAATCAACTGTGAGGAAGAATATTGAAGTTATTGAATCTTAGGTCCCACAAAATTCTGCAAAACAGACTTTTTCTGCATGACTCAGTAAAATCATTCTATTAATGTCTTATTGTTCTTGCATATACAGATCAGAAGTGAATGCAAAAATAAAATATAAAGGTAAATAAAATTAGGTAAATAAGTAAAATACAATTCCTTGTCTGTAGGAGTTTTCACTCTAATATGTAAATTACTGTCTTGGGTTTTTTTCTTGATTGCATAATAGTATACTATGATCTGAAATGAAAGTACAACAAAAAAGAAACATGGAGCAAACCACAGCTAAAGATCTGTCCCCATGGATTTAGAAAATAATTGCAGTGAAATGATGAAATGTTTATAAGAATATCAAAGTTCATTTAATTTAACCTTTGTATAGTTTCTTATTCTGAAGAATAGGGATACACAGGTTTTTTATTCAGGTTTGGCTCTTTTGCTACACATACACTCCTTTACAATTCTTTCTCCCAGAACTGATTGGATTTGTGGAATCCAGCCTGCAAGGCAGAACACTGTCTGCAGCACAGAAGGGATTTTGAAGAAACACTCTCGTGATTCCAGTATTGGCAATAACTGAGGGTAGAAATTTGAAAATCAACATTTAGAATTGAGGAAGTACTCTCTGGGGTACATGGGACTATCTTTTTTGTATCCTGTGTTTGTCAAGAATCATAAAATGAATTGTGACATCCTTTCAGATGTTTGGCACATTACATCGATGGCTCGACTCCACATGTTATTTTTCTTTTCATTTTCCACTGTCCAAAAAAAAGTGCTTATATTAACATATTCCTGAATTAACATTTTCCTAAAATAAATAACAGAGCATTTGTAACTTATAGTATTCATCAGTTACACAAGTTTGTATTCAGGAAATGTAAATAATCATTCTCTTCTTCAATAAATAAAGAACATAGCTCAGACGTGCTCCCCAAGTGATGGCCCCTTTTTTGTTGCCTGATAGATCTGAAGAAGCCAGAATTTGGCAAAGTGAGAATCCTCCCAGTGAAGCTGGAGCAGGAGGAACACAGATGTTGAAAACTGGTGAAGTCTACATGTAGGCTTCTCCAACACCTCTGCAAAGCAGATGTCAAGAAACGAAAGGGACAAATGAATTTTTCCTAGTGGCTTGTGTTCTCTTATCCAGCTGTGGTAGCCTACAGCAAGTGACAGACTGCTGTAACACATTTTGGGCATGACATGCAATTTCTTTATACCCTCAGGTCTTTCCAGTTTTGTGTCTAATAGCAGAAAATTTTCCACCAGCACTGTTCAGCTTCAGGAGGAGAACAAACAGATCTTATGCTTTCTAGGTGGGGCTCTGAGAATGTCAATGGTATTACAGGGTGATTTTTGAACAAGACACAAGAGAATCTCTATATTTTTATGAAAATATGTTGAAGCTCATTAACAAAAATATTTACTGCCTGTGCCATATGGATAAAACTTTAATTACCATGACTTTATGTAAAACCCCCCATGCCTACAATTTATCCAGTATTATTGCCATGTATGGACATAATAGTCAAAGAAAAGATTGCCTTGTTTTGTAGCAATGGACTAGAAAATGTCTGCTTAATTCTCACTTTTCTGCCCCTCTTTTAGTGAGCTAATTAAATGCCTTGGTCTTTAAGTTGCTACTTACACAATCCTTAACATAATCACACATTTTACAGATGGGCTTTCTAATTAACCAATCAAATCCTACAGAAGTAGTGGAAATAAAACAATTAATATAAAAAGAACTGTTATGTTAAAATGAAAGAAAAAAACCCAAGAAAAATAAAAAAAATTAAAAATACACATTCTATAGAATATTTTAAGCATAATTTCAATGTTAATAGTATAACTCCTCTACAGTTTTCCAACTAATTCTGAAATGTTAGCCTTACAAAATTTCCCTTTGGTTTCATTCATCCAGTGAGGTGGAAAAAATAATTTTAAAATCCTTTATCCAACTGTGATGCAATGTGATGTTTTTTTTGGTTTTAACTTTTCACTTAAGTACTTGGTCATAACCATTAAGCACTGTTCCAGAATCCAAAAATGGAGGAAGCTGTGGAATTCCTTTCAGGGCTCTCAAATACACTGGCAAGCAAACCCACTGTCCTCTGGTAGGGAGGATTGTGGTTTTCCCTGTTTGATGCTGATCACTTCTCCCTGAGCACTATTAGATCATGCTTTCTAGAGGCTGATCCCTACAGCAGGGATGACACTTCTAAGCAAGCAGGAATGATGCTTTCAGAAAACAGAGCAAATTACTGGCATTTTGAAAAAGTTACTCAGAGGTAGGTAGTTCTTAACTTTCCTCTAACCTCAGCCCTCATTTCAAATTTCACCCTGTCACTGCACAACAATCTCAGCATGATTCTCATGAACAAGAAACAGACACTTGGTAAAGAGTAATCAGAACAAGACTGTTGCCCCATCTGCCTCATCCTTTGTTCTGGAAAGGTTTTGTTAGATGGAAAGTTAAACCTTCATATTCCTCAGACTCCATCTCTACCATTTCGCATTTTTGTATTTTGTTATATGGAGAATCTTCTCAATTTATAATGAAATTCATGTGTGAGTCTTTACTTAAATATTAGGAGAACTTCATTGTCTTACAATTTGGCATTTCATATTGCTTTTGGAATATATTTCAAGATACAGTATATATTTGAAAGTTTCTAAAATAGTACTGCATTCTAAAACCTTTGTTTTCTTTACAAGTTTAGTAGGATACTAATGTTATCCAAAACAAAACTATTTTTAGATTGCAGTTATAAATATGACTTCAATTTATATATTAAACCAATGTAAAACTGCAACAAAAGTTCACTTTTTAATTAACTTCCTTCTCAGGAAATCAACTTTAAATTTGTATTTTTTTCCAGCAGAGGGTGGCTTTTTTTTTTAAAATATCTTAGTAAAAACTGCATTTTTAAAGCTGCAGATATAAACTCCCAACTAATCATGACACAAAATTAGTCTATTTATGGCTACAAAAAGCAAGCCTTGTTCTCATTATGCAGTAAGTACTAGCTGTTTATAGATCTGACAGTTTGCTGGAAGTGATCCAAACCTATAGTGCTATTATTCCTTAGTAAAACTTAAACAGCTGTAGTCATGTAATTCAAAACCCTGGAAGGCTGCTGCAGTGCTTGCTCAACCTCAGTATACCATGAATGCTGGATGCTGCCAGTCATATAAAGGATCCTCTGCTTCACATTATGAAAGAAAGACGTGAACTACAAACCTGAATGCAACCTGGAATTTCCAAACAGATGATCTTGTGACAGCCTTTGCAAGAGTGCAGGTATGGTAAACCTTTGTCTGTGAATTTTCTGCAGTGAGCCAAACTCATTTACTGTAAACTGGGGAAGCTTTGCATAAAAACCCACAAAAAACAAGAGAGTAATTTGTTACAAATGCATGACACAGAATCAAAAGAACATAAAATGTCATAGTTAAAGTTTTCTGAAACTTACTGTAAAGAAAAGTTGTTCAATATGAAATAGAATTGTCTACTTGCTGAAGTTTGAAAGCTCATTTCTTCTGCTGCATTTTTCTCTGCTCTTGTATTGCAAACTAGTGGGGAATAGCACTACCATGCAAGATATTTCACCATATGAGTCCAGTAACATTGTAAAATTATCTTAAGCAACTGCAAAATCAGTTGGAACTTTGTGCATATTTTGCAAGTATGACTTTTCAGTGTAAGTTTGTTGGACTGCTTTTGCAATTGATTTTACAAGCAGTGCCTGCTGGAAATGAAAACCAGATCTCTATCAAAAGATACTAAAAGCAGAAATGTGTAGTTTAAACTTCTCAAGTAGTATAATTATTTAGAAGAGTACTATTAAAAGAATCTGAAAAATAGAAAGAGTTACAGTTACAAAAGTGAGTAATGTAATTTTAGGTTTTGATCAGTTCGTTTGGAAAACATTTCTTTATACTGAACATTAGTTAAGAGAAAGCAAATTGTCTAAGTGGAAAATGTTAATCAACAGCACTCTGTAAAATCAAGAATCTATACTCTGAAATTACTTAAATTTCCAGCTGCAGGTTTATATTCTACTGAAAACTATTCATTTGACTGAATGACATTCCCAACTGGAAAAAATAACAATTACCACAAGCACCACAAATGAAAGCATACAGAAATCAAAACCTAGAATTAGGACCTTCTGCTCTGGTAGACATTTAGTCGTAGTCATGCAGTTGTGCAAGTCAGCAAAATTAGGCATTTTGAAGAAGATGGGAACTCCCACTGAGGAGCTGACTGCCTAAGGAGTGGCATACTGACTTTTGGAATTGACTTTATGCTTTCAATATAGAGTAGGAATTTACTTTACTTTTGGAATTGACTTTATGCTTTCAATACATGCTGAACACAAATGCAAAGAGGAAGTGTAAAAAGAATGCCCTTGAAAAAAAAAAAACAACAAAAATATTAAGAAAGTAACTATAAGTTTACATTTCATGAAAAAAAACCCCAACAATGTGCATTAGAACAGACATTAGAATATAAAGGCATGTGTTATTTGTGGTGCCTTTTTTTTGAAATGGAAATGTTTAATTCATATTAAGTATAAAAGTATCTTTCTTTGTAGAAAGAGGAGCTATTTTGGATTTCAGTGTGATATCCCACAGAAATGAGAGGGGAAAAATAAAACTTGGAAGTACACTTCCAAATATATCTGATAAAATAGATAATAAATTGAGAGACTGGGGTAAACACTCTGGTAGCTCTTTTTAATGCATATGTTGCTGCAAGGCTGCACAGTTTAAGATCCAGGTAAGCATTTCTTGCTGTATTTTGAAGACTCAAAACCTCACAATAACTTTGAAGAGATACTGATTTCCTTTACTGGTCATATCATCAATATCATCAATCTGAGAATTTTAACACATGCCTTCTTTTTCCATTTTTAAAGTGACATCTTCCTTAAACTCCAGGAGCACACAGACTACCAAAAATCCTTGGTTTGTGTTACAGCTAAATTCTGCAGGAATTCTGTCATACAAATTTTTCAATTAATTTTGACATTTGCAGTCTCTGGATCGTTGTTTTAAAGCAATCTGACAAACTCACCTTCTGACTTATTCCTGATGGACACTGTTCATGTCTACCATATGTGACAGAAGTTTTCAGAGGGAAATTTTAACTATCTCTCTTGTGCAATATGGAGGCTGAAATGTTTGTATGGAATAGTATGAGAGAATAAAAAAATGACCCCTACACTTCCCCAGCTCCTTATTCCAATAAAGGATGTCTGATACACCACAGCAAAATTCACATGCAGCATTATGAAATGCAATACTGCCACCTCTAAGCACTTTGTGTTAGTTACCACAGTACACAGAACCTGTGCTGAGCTAGTGCTTTTAGGATTGCCATGTGAAATGGTCATAAAATATGTCTGCTATCAAATTCTTCACAGGACAGCAGCTTTTTGTACATCCCCATAATCTCAGAAACAATGAGCTTTGCTTTTTGTCTCAAAATTATCAATACAAAGAGTGTAATCTCATGGTTTTAAATCAGAAACATAATGTGTGACTGGAAAATTTCATATTAACAAGGTACAAGATAACTGCAAAAGGTCTTTGGTCAGTGGAGAATTTTTCTTTGCTATTTACACTTCAAAAAAATTATGTTCCAAACTCCAGCATAAATATATGGAAATCTAAAAACACAAAGTATCAGCCAACATGGAAAAAACACAGATTATAATAAAAGTAACACTGATGAGATGAGTGGTAGAGTTGGAGGCACTAATGCAAAACTTTGCCAAAACAAATGCTAGCTATGTGAGTATATGGCATTTCAGACAAAGAAAAACAAAAGTCTAAATGTATTATGCAAATGCCAAAGAAAAACATGTTTCTGAACTTCATGGGGATGTTGTTGAAAGTCATACATTTGTTTTCCTCACAGGAAAGAGAATATAAAGCTATTTTTCAAATCCATATACATCTTTGTGATGGCTGCTCTTGTGAACAGCTCACCTCATTTCTTCCATGGCAGCTTTTAATCCAGCAATTCTACCTGCTAGGCAGACCTTGAGTCTCTAGGGATACCCCTGAAACAGGAATGGCAGACTTTTTAAAGACTGTTAAGTTCTCTGCCTTCAGCTTACTGAGCTTCCAAATATCACTTTGGAATAACTCTTTCTTTTGCAGTTGTCACACAAGGCCTTGGCTCGCACAATGCACCTACCCACAATCCTCTCTTTCCAAAAAAAATTTTTATTAACCTATCTAACTTCCAAACTTCTTGCATCATTATGAGGAACTGGACATGAACATGAAATTTTTGGATAGCATTTTCTTTTAAAAGTTTTGTGAAACTGTGCAATACATAAGAGAATCTAGCATATATTTTTAGATATACTAAAAAGTTAAAAGGACTGTTATATAAATAAAATTTATGGGGCATTTATTTCAAATAACTCAAGAGTATTTCTATTACACATGCCTCTAAATTTCCTGCAAAATTAAAGCAAATAGTTTCATATTTCTTTGTAATTTACCTTGTTAATAGATGCAGAGTTCCTTTAGTACTATCTCTATACAACAGATTATATTTAAATAGTACTATCCCTATACAACAGATTCAGCCAGACTTAAACTGGCTGAATAATAAAAATACCCAGAAGTATATTAAAATTATATTTGTATGTATATGTATGTCTCTAAGGGAAAAAATCTGAGTAAGTATCTTTAAATCACCATAATAATTTCTGTACATCTCAGCCATTTTCTTTGAAAGCCTCAAAGTAGAATACTGATAGATGTGATGCTATTACCTTGAAGTATGGTCATTTTATAATTTTAAAGGATACCTACAATATACAGTCCTACAGAGCACAAGGGACTTATCACTTGATTGAAGGTTAGCATATGTTAACACATTTTGCTAAACCAAGATTATTGTTAGCCAATCCTGGTATCTATAACCATTGGTGAATTTTCTCCATGAACTCTTGTATATTTCTCTAACCAGTAATAGAATTTAATAGAATATAATTTACAAAATTCTTCCTGTTTAGTTCTACCTTCTGGAACATTAAACTTGAGTAATTATAAGGCTTCCATATTTTATTGACCTGCAGAACAGGTACTACTCATATTGTTCCATTCTTATATAATGGGAACAAATGTCCTAGTATGATAAATGTTTCACAATAAATGTCAATATAATGCAAAGGCAAAAAGTCAGTACTTGTACATGAAAATGCAATAGTTCAGCCTGTGCCTTTTTCCATGTTGTGACCATCTTTTCCCTATTTCAGTTATCAGGCAAAAGCACCATCCAGATAACTGGAAATTCAATACCAACCAATCCTAAAGAAAGTTTGTGTTTTTGAAATCTATTCATGCAACAAAGGATATGAGAGAGTAGATACATCAGTAAAAACAGGTATGTAGATGGAAGATAACCACAACCTGTAAGGAGTGAAGGCACAGGGAGTGGTGAGAAAACTGGGGGGAATAGTGATGAGGAAAATCTCTGACACCTTGCATGCAAAAGCAGCACAAAGGGGTCTATTTTAAGTGTTTCAACACAAACACTTGCAGCTTGGGAATCAACCAGCAGGGACTGAAGTCCATGCACAGGTACAGAGCTATGATTTCACTGGGACTCCAGAGATGCACAGAGATAGCACATCCAACTGAAGGCGTGCAATGAAAGGTTCCAGAATATTTAGGAATGACAGCCCAGAAAGCTGAGGATGGGCTGCACTCTATGCAAAATCATGCCTGGGCTTTGCATTGAAATGGGTGACAAGTCAACTAAGAGCTTATTTGTAATGATTAGAAGCCAAACCTATGAGCATTACATTGTGGTAGGGATCTGCTGCAGACTGCTTGATCTGCTTGATCAAGATGAGATGGTGGATGAAACCTCTGGGCAGCTGAAGGAAGCTTTACTCTTGCCCACCCTGGTTACTCATGAGAGACTTCAGCCACTCCTATATGCTGCCAAAAAATATGGCTGGGCATGAACAATCCAGAAGACTTCTAGAGTATGTTGAAGACAATTTCTTGATCCAGCTGGCTGGCAAGTGGTCTAGGGAATGTGTTCTTCAACAGGTGAAGGAATGTGAGCTTGAGTGAATGTCAGCCTGAATGAACTTAAATGGTTTTGGTTATTGCAGCCATGGAAATGAGAAAATGAGAAGTTCAAAATCCAGACAGAAGACAATTGGACAAACTGTAGAAGAAAAAACCCTGAACTTGTTAGTAGATTTTGGCTAGTTTAGGGTTCTATTTAACAGGATCTCACACTAGACAGCCCCAGAGGGCAAAGGGGCTCAGGAGAACTGGTTAATCTTCAAGGACAAGCTACTCCATTACTTTTTAGCCTTGGTTTTTACAGCTAAGGCCTGTCTGAAGGCTTCCCAGGTGCCTGGCCGGAGCCTGTGAGCAGAGTCTGTGAGAGTGAAGCAATACCCATCATAGAGGAAGTTAATGTCAGGGAGCACCTGAGGAAATGGGATGAGACAGGGTGCATCCAAGAGGAAGAAAGCTGTCTCTTGTCATTGAGAGGCCTCACTCACTTTTGAAAGGTCATGACAGTCAGAGGAGATTCCTGATGACTGGAAGATAGGAAATGTCACTTCCATTTTCAGGAAATGGAAGAAGCTCCAAGAAACTACAGGCCAGTCAGCTCCACTTGAGTCCCTGGAAGGTTATGGAGCAAATCCTCCGTGAAGCCCTGTCCAAGCACACAAAGGATGGAAAAGTGACAGCAAACAGCCAGCATGAGTCTATCAAGGGCAAAGCATTCTGCACTAATTTGATAGATTACTAGATCTATTGATAAGGGGAGAAAAGCAGCCCCTGCATCACTAACTTGACTATCCTAAACCATTTGTGTTTGAAGGTCTTAAGCTGTATTTTACCTACAGTAATTTTCAAAAGCTTGTGTGAAAATATTGGTGTTTCTGGGCTAGAATACTGGATATACACTTCACTAAAAAATGGCTAAAAATGATACAAATTATTTTTTTATATACTTAACACTAGAAATAGCCTATAAATTCATGAATATATTAAGAAACATAATTTCTGAACAAAATATTAATGTTATTCTTAGATTAATTTATTATAAGAAAAATTTGCCTATAACATTGCCTTTTATAAGAAATTATTAATTAAAACAAAGTCAAACATTGTTTTTCTATCAAGGAAGAGCAATGAAAAAACATTAAAAAAATTCATGGAAGCAAGCTAAAATTTAAAATGTTAAACTGAGGAAAAAATGGACAAATACACAATGGTGATTGCATTCTTAGACACATTTAAAATTAAACCTCTTAAAACTATCAAGAATTTAGTGAGACATTTGTAGAGCCCAAGTGGCTACTGAAGGAATAAAGGAAGTTGTAAACAATACGGGATTAAAATGTAGTGTTGACAACTCCAAGCTTATAATAACAACAAACCCCTCCTCCCAGACTGGTAAAGTTTTGAAGCCTGTTTATCAAAATTAATTGAGATTGAATATATCATTTTGCCCTGGTAGTGTAGAAAACCAGTGATTCATGGATTATCTCTGAATCCTACTAAACTCCGTTTTTAAAGTACTTAAGAACACAAGTCTCTACTTTTTATCAGGAAGATTTGTAAACCTAATAGCCACAGCAATTGAAAAAATCTTTCTTCTTGGAATAAATTGGAATTTGTAGAAAGAGTTTGTATTTCTTATATTTAATCCCTGGCATTCACAGATATTTAAGTCTTGCAAATTTTTTAATTCACCTAAAACACCCAAAAATAAACAACAAACTCCAAACCCAAAACAAAATTAAAAACAAAACAAAAAACCAAAGAAAACAAGCAACCAAAAAAAACCAAACCAAACCAAGCCAAAAACTGTCATATTAAAGGTGAACAGTTCAAATTCTCAGAGTATGACATAAATTTAAGAATTTCTCATACACGTTCAATCTATCTGGGCCAATATCCTGAACCATGGTCACAGCAGATTACAGGGATGAAAGCACAAAACCCCAAAAACTGGGGTAAACAATCCTGAGAAAATGACTTGAAAACAAGCCCACCCTTGTGCACAAACTAAAACTGGCAGTCTGATGGCTTTCCCTGGTTTGACTCTGTATGTGTTCCAGTTGTTCAGCACTCAGGAAGTTGGAAAGGACCAGCTTCAAACTCCTTGTTTGAGCTCATCTTCCAAGATTAACTTGAATACAAAAAGGTCCACCCTGATGGTGTTTCCTGAACACGTGAGAATCTCTTAACAAAAATCAGTGAGAAATTGGTCCATATAGTTTCCCATGTTTAATCATAATGAAAAACAGTAGACCAGAGTCAGTAAAAACTAACAAACAAACAAAAAGAGATAGGACATTAAATCTTCAAAGTATTTGTGAAGTTCCAAGCAGTGTGATGATCGAGTACTTGACTGCATATTATATACAATCCTCCATGAAAATGCCCATTTCATCTGTCCTAATGCTTTATTTTTCTTCCAACACAGGGAACTCACAAAGCCCAGCTGTGCCTCCTCAGATCTGTACAACACTGATTCGGACTATCCAAAAATTTCAAGTGTTCCAGCTGTCACAGAAAAGAACTGGGACCAGCTGAATGTCAGGATGCAAGTAGTCACTATTATATTATTAATTCTTCTTTGTAGTGCATCTGACTGTAGGAGGACAAGGAATAGGAGTTTGAGAAACAATGAAAGGGAAAACATCTTAAGGAGAGCATCTAGCACTGTTAAACGCAATGCCCGAGACCTAACATGTGATATTTACACTTATCTTCATGAGAAATACTTAGACTGTCAGGAAAGAAAATTGGTTTTTGTGGCACCTGATTGGCCAGAGGATATAAAACACATGCTGCTAGCAAGAAACAGAATTCGTAAATTAAAGAATAATATGTTTTCTAAGTATAAAGCACTGAAAAGTCTGGATTTACAACAGAATGACATATCAAAAATTGAGAGCGAGGCTTTTTATGGTTTGGATAAACTTACCACGCTCTTGCTTCAGCATAACCAAATTAAGATTTTATCTGAGGAGATTTTTATTTATACACCCAGTCTAAACTACCTTCGTCTCTATGACAATCCCTGGCATTGCAGCTGTGAACTAGAAACTCTTGTTACAATGCTACAGGTTCCAACAAACAGGAATTTGGGAAATTATGCCAAATGTGTGCACCCAGTAGAACTGAAAAATCAGAAGTTAAAGCAGGTAAAAGCTGATCAGCTGTGTAGTGAAGAGGACAGGCAGGATCCCAAAAACATAAAACGGGAGAAACCTGAACCTGCCAAACCAGAATTTGATTCCTCTTTGTGCCACATGTATGTGTTTCCTGTGACAACTCTGAACTGCAGAAGAAAAGGTTTGTATCTGTCATTATAACTGAATGAATGATTTATATATATATGATATATATTTATTCTGTTTATTTAATCCTTTCTACATTTATTCGCACGTTATTTACTTCAAATGAACTTAGTATAGCACTCGCTTTGCTTAAACTGATATTGTTAATTTTTTTTCTCTTATAAGTATCAGCAATAAGCAGGAATTCTTCCTGCATTTTCCTTCTGCTCTGCAGCCCAAATTCCACAGATATTCCTTAGTGCTGTAATGTATTTAACAGAAATCAACAGGTTTAAAACTAAGCATATTACTTAAGTTACTAGTCTGGTTGTACAACTATAAACATACTAATCAGTCAGATTACAGCTCTGCTGAAACTGTTGAACTGATACAGACAAGCACACAGTGTCTTTTCTTCCTTCCATTGTACAAACACAAAGATAGCAATAACTTTAACAGAGGTGAGCTGTGAAGCAGGACTGGAGCAGCCAGCTGTGTTTTCAATGCCCAGAGGAACCTGATTGCAAAGGAAAGGCTTTGCATCCTCACATTTGCTGCACAAGATTTCTTCTACTAAGGGAAGAAATTTTATGTTTTTGTTCATAAAGAAATAACTCCTCTGTGTCCTTCCTCCCAGCACCCAGCAAACAATTCAAAGTTGAAGGGACTTCAAGAAATGTTTTGCAGACACTTGGATCCATTCCATCTCTAAATCTTTCTCAGGCCCCTAAGAGCCACAGTTAAGCCCTGAGGGTAAACCAGATGGGGTATATATCAACACGAAAATGCACACTTATTTGTCCTTTATATTTCCCATATTTTATCCCACGACAAAACAAAGCAAACAAAAAAAAACCAATTCAGAGGAGAATAATTCTTTAACATAACAATTCTGAAAGAAGAAGCATGGCTTGAAGCAGCCAACATTGTGAGACCTTTTCCCCAATTTTAGCAGAGCTTAGCCTGCATGTTTTATTCAGCTGAACTTTTATCTGCTTTAAGACCAACTTGATTTTATATAAAAATTTCAGTTGCACCTTTATGCCAGAGAAAAGCTCAGAATTCAGTATAAGTAGATAATATCTAAATATCAAGGATTAATGATTTCAGTAATTGATTACATGGTTTATCTACTATGTATGTCATAAAAATGGTCTGTGTTCTTTATTTTTTTTTCACCCTGTAAATTCTTTTCTTGTCTGTCTGGCTCAATTTTCTCTTTCTTTTACCATGAAGCTACTACATCTTTTAATTAATGATTTATGCTGCTTTTATTATTTTTACTGTTCACCTATCTTATGTTTCCTTGTAGATAACATCTTAATAATTAGATTATAGATTATGATCTTAATTGTCCTTCATAGAATCTTATATCACTCTTACTATTCAGTGAACTGTTATTGAAAAAAGCCCAGGCATAAATTATAATTCTATTATAAGTAAAGACTGACTTTACACTCTCCCCTCCTAGTGGTATCAAAGAGATGACCTGAATACACAAATATACCTAAAAACTTCTTGGGAAAAAAAATTTACTTTTTTCTCTAAGTTCATGGAAACATTCAATGTGATTTGATCTTCATGGGAGTTTCAAAGAGGTTTATGGTATTTGAAAGCATGGTTTATTGTCTTTAATATTAATAATGGAGGAATAAAGTTATTTCAACCTCTACATGAGAATACTAGGGGGTACAGGGACTGCCTCCTCCAGGTCAAGAACAAAGTATGTCAATCCAGAACTTCCTGCATGCCTAGCATGGACACACGGAGTATGTTTCAATACTTTTTGGAAGTACTAGATCTACTGTGCATATGTTTGACAGCTGGATGCAGATATCCATGGATATTTGGTATTTCTGAACATATGGCAATCTTTGATGAAAGCATTGTACTTACTGTCTTCATATATAAATATTGTACAGCAGATGCACAATTTCACTGGAATTTTCATCAGAAATAGGAGTGTAATGCACACAAAATCCAGGGAAAACACAAAAACATCTCTAAATCTGTGTGGACAAGAATTCAAATAGAAAAAAAAAGTGCATCAGTTAACAAACCAGTAAGATGACATGAAAAGCTGCAATCCATTATTCCTTTACAATGGAAGGAATGGAATGACAAGCACTTGCTCTACCACTACTAAGTATGTCTAAAGAGGTAGGACAACAGGTCAGGAACTTTCAACTAATGCCAGAAACCTCATGAAAGAAACATCTTAAAAATATATTTATCCATGTGTATGTTCCCTTTTTTAAAAAATAATTTGCTTATATCTCGTCAGACCAGTGATATGCCAGACCCTGTGGGACTCCAGAATGAAATACTCTATGCCCTTGATTCTGTTTTACAAAAAAAAAAACCCAAAAAAAAAAAAAAAACCAAAAAAAAAAAACCACCAAAAAAAAAACCAACCCTAAAAAAGCCAAAAAAGTAAGGAAGCAAAAGCAGTTTGTTTGCATTTCTACAAAGAACTTGTATTTTCAAGGACACTTGAAAAAAGAGTCTGCTTTCTAGTCCTTCCAAACTCTCCAAGTCTCTAAATTCAAGCATTATTTGCATTCATTTGGTGATAAATAGGCCCTGAAACTGTGACATCTGCAGAAGCAGGAAGCAATCCAACCACAGCAGGCTGGAGTGGTTATAATATTTATGTATTTATAATACCACAGCTCTGCTTATAATCAGATATAAGGCAGGAAGACTCTGGTATGTTGCTGTAGTCTCATCTCAAAAATACCTGAGTCATTAGATATCTTCAGAAGTTCAGAAGTACCACACAGAGTCCAGCACAGATCCAGAAACTCCTTGCTTTCATTCAAAGATGGTCAAACAAGAGACACTGCTCATTTTGTTGTTATGACAGTGTAGGATTAGAACACTCATTGAGCAAATATAAAAATCCTGGAGATTAGGTTTGTTAACATTACCCTGAGAGGGTTCAAACCACAGTCTGCACTTCTCAAGCATGGGCCCTTACTACTGGAGTAGGAGCTGCTCTTTCTGGAGTTCTTTTGGAAGGAACACTGTAAGGATACGGACACCAATGGCTGAGAGGTCCTCAGCTACTTTGGAACTGCCAGTGATAGAAGTAGGAGAGAGAAGCAGACAAAATGCCACTCTGCTGCCTGGGTGGTTTGTTATATAGTTACTCTGGTTTCTCTTTTTTAAGCAATCAAGCCCTTCACACATATATTTTTATATTAGTATAAAATATAAATATATAGTAATATATTAGTATAAAATAGGCTACTACTTACCCTATTCCTATGTGAATGGTCTAGTTCTACTAAAATAAAAATATAAATCACAGAGGTTTTACTATATCCACTAATGAAGAGAACAATTTTCACATGAAATGTAAAGGTACAAGTAAAGAAAGAATGAGATTCAGAAGTTGAAAAAACATGGCGGCACTAGTAGAGGGGATAAAAGGGAAAGAAAACAAGAAAAATGTTAGACTGACAATACTCTGTCTGGCATGCAACTGTAATACCTAAGTAGTAAGAATAATCCAAAGCTGATACAAGTTGTGTCTTTTTCATTTTTTAAGATTTAAAGAAAGTTCCAGGCAACATGCCTCCAGATATAGCTAAACTTGATTTGTCCAACAACAAAATTAGACAGCTACGAGCCAAGGAGTTTGAAGATGTCAGTGAACTGAAGATATTAAATCTAAACAGTAATGGAATAGCATACATTGATCCTGGTAAGAATAATTTTAAATACTCATTTAAAATTATTTCTCTTTTATTAAATATTGTCTCTATCAGATATAAACTGAGTGGGAGGGGGAAGGATTTAAAAATCTAGAAGTTGGTGCAAATTTTACCTTTTTTTACATTTCAATTTATAGAATAAAGGTTTGCACTGAAATATATTCATCAGGAAAATCAATAGAGAAAGACACATTTCAGTTGCCCTTTCTGAATACTAAACTAACCAAGTGCAAAAGATAATTCTGGAACCTGAAGGTTAACAGTTTTCCAAAATGCTAAGTAGTTCAATGATTTTTAAAATATCTTTGCCACATTTAAGAAAACATTACATATAAGGAGGCTACTTTTCAATTATATTGTATGATAAAATAACAGACAAAGCTAAAGGATTTAAATACTTTTTGGTTAAAAATCACTACGTAGAATTGCTTTTAAGTTATAGGACTATAACTATTGCTATTTAAATTTATTAGGACTCAAGTGTCCTTAATGGCAATTTGCTTATAGCCTATGATCATTTGGATTTAATTACAAAAGCAGATATAAACAGGGTGAGAGAAAGAGAGAGAAAATTCATCATGCAAAAAAGGGCTTATCTAGTACTATCTTGGCAATTAAACTGCATCAGAAAGTGTTACTATCAGTAAAATAGTACTTGTGAGGTTTAACATTACACAGTTGATTTATTTAAATTAAGACTTCTGCTATTAAATGAAACAGTGTCATTGCAAAAAGTATGAACTGCTCTCTGAAATGTAACTCACAAGCATTATTATGAAGCTCCATGTTTACTCCATTCCAATTCTTAAAATGTTAATTTGAAGGTTCTATTCATGCACACAAATACCTGTATACACAAAAAAACCTCTGGCCCTGCACAGTGTCTGATAATAAGTTTCCATATTCCTACTTCTGTATCATGACAATAACAACAGGATTCAATGAGCAAATCAGGCATTCATCCACCTCCACTGTCTCTATTCTACACTCAGGCACATTCATGAAGTGTTTTATAGCTTTACCAGCAGTGCAACTCCTCTAATATTTCTCACTTCTGAAGGCATGTGCCATATTTTAAAATTCAATGTTTGACAAATCCTTCTATAGCCTCTAGCCAAAATAAAACAAAAAAACCAGTAGCTGTAAAATTATAAAAATGTTTTTCCTCTTCTAGATATGAATGTTTTTCCTGTCACAGATATGAATGTTTTTTTCTAAGTTAACTTTATAAGGTACCAATAACTCTTTTTCTATTGATTAGCTGCTTTTTCAGGCCTCAATAACTTAGAGGAGCTGGATCTATCAAACAACAGCTTGCAGAATTTTGAATATGGAGTGCTGGAAGATCTTTACTTTCTGAAAATACTGTGGCTGAGAGACAATCCTTGGAGATGTGATTACAACATACATTATCTTTTCTACTGGCTGAAGCATCACTACAACGTTCACTACAATGGCCTAGAATGCAAAATGCCTGAGGAATACAAAGGATGGTCTGTTGGAAAATATGTCCGAAGTTATTATGAGGAATGCCCAAAAGACAAGCTTCCTGTTTATCCAGAAACTTTTGATCTGGACAAAGAGGATGAGGAATGGGAACGACACAAGGAGCAAACAGTTCAGACAGTAAAGAAGCATGGAGTAATTGTCACTGTGATAGGCTAATAAGGGAACCCTTTCCTTAGTAGGTTTAAATATCTGATACTTTGAGAAAGAAATACATGCTGTTTACATTTGTTCTAATTATTCTGTTGGTTTGTAGGATTATCTGCCTACAAAGGTGTCTGTATATTGCCAATAATAACTACAGAATGACATTAGTTCGACAGCATCCTTCATCTAGTAATTGTTTTTGACAATTTGTTCTGGACACTCTTGTGAAATACTTTGGCAAATATTTGAAACTATACAGTAAAAATCAATAGACACAAATGTACATAATATGGTGGGAAGAAGCTGCCTTATGTACGAACACAGTTTATGTGTTCACACAGAAATAGCTGCAGGATTGTGACCAAGACCCATTTTTTCTTGAATGTATTGACAGTTCTTTGTATCTATCAGTTTCCTGAAATATTCCCAGAAAATGTTTCTAAGATTTTTATATCTTCCTGTTGTTTTATTGTAGACCAAAAAACCAAACTTAAGACTAACCTTAAATACAATTCTAGAAAAAGAGGAAAGGCAGTTGTTATACTAATTAGGACTCAAACACAGAAGGTGGGTTTCACTTGCTGATTTACCAGTGTTCCTCCTCAGTCCTGAAAGAATAACTGAGCCTCTGCCTCTTCCATACCTGAGGTGCCTTGAAATGAAAAGTAGCCAAGACATGGTTGGTTCCCAAGATCCAGCTCCACATGCTCATAATTGCTTTGTTTGGTTTTTGAGGCAAGCAGAGCTGAAATCTCTCTAGGAAGAATTGTAGGTTGTTGTTGTATCAGTTTGACACAGATTATGTGCCATCACTTCTACCTGATGAAGATTACATGAAGGATGCTGTGGTCTGCATCCAGCACATCAGTGCCCACCCAAACTGAAGGTAAGTATGCTTTTGATAGCTCAGAGTGTGGGACATTCTCTAAGTTCACTCTTCTCTCAGCTCATTTGTAAAATGCATGTTACAGAACATCCTTGTCAAACAGCTATCTATGTGAATACTCATTGATTAAAACCTGTGATCATTCTAACACTATAGCAACAGGGCAGAAAAAATGCCTCAGCTAAATAGATGAGACATAAAGATAAAATTTATATCTAAAGATAAAATTCCTTGCTGCATAATATACTTAGATCACTAAGAAATGTGTACGTGCAGAGTAGAAATTCAGGGCCAAAACTTTAAATTTCTCTTGACTATCAGGGAAGAAGTTCTGGAAGACTCCATGGAGAAACTTTGCTCCTTTAAAGATCTGGAGACAATTATGGTATTTTTGCATTCCTCTGGTGCTTTGACCACGAGTCCCAAAGGTGGCTCATTTTGTTCTACAAGACATAACACTCAGTGCTTTAGTGCTAACATGAAATAAAAGAACAACATAAAGGAAAAAATCAGAAGATGTTAAGGGTGGTAGGAATGCCAAAGAATCTCAAAGCAAACACATCCCATTATTATTTGCATTCCTTTATGTTCTCCATTATTCAGATATGAATAATTTAATGGTGCTTTGCTGACAACCTGGGTAATTTAGCCATTTCTTCCACAATATCCTTCAAAAACTTTATAGCAAAAATACAAGAGTATCTGACTCATCCCTGTTCCTGGAAATATCTTAAGCATTATCTTCACTGTTAAAGGTTAATCCTGATAAGACAGAACAGAGAGGAATACCCCATTTTGCCAGTAACATTCACTAAATAGGGCATATTCTGGAAACTTAAAAGTGCTGAAAGTAAAAAAAGAAAGTCTGCCACAAATAGTAGCAAGTATTTAGTAATGTTGTCCTCCTCCTCTCAAATTTTGGAGAATTATCTCAGTATAGAACCACTGGGTCTGATTGAAAAGCACAGGCAATAAAACCACAGCAGAACATCTGTTATTGGCAGCACAGCCAATGGTGAAAATCTGAGTTGGAAAATATGCATTTATAGACCAGGTTATGTTAATTTCTGCAAAGAGTCAGTGCTGGGAAAAAAAGCTAGCTTAAGGCAGGCTAAGTCTGGGTAGAAAAGACAACCCTGGAGAAGTTTTAGAAAAAAGAAAAATATAAGACAAAAAAATCTGTGTGAGTGGTCTCTGATCTCTCAGGTCAGCAAAAAGTACCAGTTGAAAGAGCAGTGGGATAAGACTGAGAACCACATGCAGTGGCCTAACTGGTCTTGTTTGAAGGCCCTGGGGATTCCCAAAGAGACACCCCCACTGAGGATGTGGCAGAATGGACAACAATAATTGCAGTAGTTGCAACTACAAATAATGTAAGAACACAACAATAGAAATAGGAGGTTGGGGCAAGGATATTATGGGTTAGCATGATCTCCTGCAATGAGACCATATTCTCATATTCTTTGAGAAAAGACTGTATGAACAGAAAAAGCATACAGGAGTTATGAAGGTAGCGCAGAAGGAGGCAGCACAAGAAAAAAGACAATAATATATGTGAAAAACATACATATGGGGGAAATTACTAACAATTGATAAAAACTTCAGCATTACAGGGTTAATTGCTATTTCTCTGAGCTCCTCAAAAATGTACTGTAAAGTACAACCTCCATCAAACACCACAGCCACAAAACACAATTTAATGTTGACATCTCTGTGTTTCTGTACTGTTTAATCAAAAAGCTCCCAGAAGAGCTTCCATGTCTACAAGAAAATCATGGGCCTGCCTCTTCTTTTATAAGCTCTTTAGGTCTCTTCTTTCAATAACTTCTCTCGATTTCCCTTCTTTCTCTGTCCAAAGCCAGGAAATAATTGCATGATAAAATTGCATGAAGGCAATTGACTTGTCTTCCTGACATGCAGTGCATGTCCTAGGAGTGCTGCCTTAAAGGATGAACTACAGTGCTCTACAGAGGCAGTGCCCCTTTCTCTACACAGCCACATAAAACACAGAAAAGATCATTTTGTGCCATGTTTTCCATGACAGAATACAGGAAAAATAGATATGTCTGTCAATACTGGAAATAAAACACTTCAAAAGCTTCTGAGGAAATTTTAGCTCCTGCACTATGAATACTAATGGCAGCATTTAAAGGCAGCTCCCAGTCACACATGGAAGACAAATGATTCTCCACGATCTCTGAGTAGGTGGAGGAATACCACAAACAGCTGAGCCATAACCCATGCATCTCATACACTCATATTCTCTGGCACAGTAACACACTGATTTGCCAAAGAGAGTCTGAGCTGGAATCATATTGACATTCACATGCAGATATTAGACAAAGACTTCTATTTTATGAAAGCATCACAGGCCAAAGTAAAGAGTACACAAAGCCAATTTTTTTTTTAAATTGCAGATAATTAATTTATCCAGAAAACCCCACAAACATGTTTAGTCAGACAAACAGACCTAACCCACAGTTAAAATAATTCCTTTTTTAACATTAACAATAAAGGCATGTTGCCAAAATCTGTGTAATCATGGATTTATTTGAAAGATGAGGTCAGAGCTGTAGCTGTAGGGATAATTTTGAATGGCAAGGTAGCCTGTAACTGAAGAGACAGCTCAACTCAGTTGGTTAGGTGAAAAAATGTCAAAGGAAAAGAATCTCAATATGATTTTCAATCTCTAAAAGAAAATAGATAGTTTTGCATCAACATTAAACCATCCACAAGAACTTAAAAAATGGCACAAGTAGGCAATATAATAAATATAGCTAGCCAGTGAGTTTCAACATAAAAACATATGTAGTTAATCTAAATATCAATAGCATACTGATTAAAATGCATTTCATGCTTAAAAAAAAACTATTGTGTATCTTCAAAGATAGAAGAAACAGCTTTAAAATCAATGTTTTCTAAAAGCCCCTGTAGACTGTCATATATGATTCATCACATAGTTTAAAATAGCACTCAGTAGATGTAAATAGACAAAATGTTTGATTTTGAGGCTACAGAAAACATTAATTCTCTACAAAAATGGAAAATGCAAGCTTTGTAGAGACAAGAATTAAATTTAGTAAGATAAATGAAAATGGATGGCAATCAACATACTGACACTCCAACAGACATAATCAACACTAGATATGAATCAGTTAAATAATGGGCAAGGGAAGGCTGTTTGTATACAAAATGTAATTCTATCACAACTGTTCTTTACTTATTTTTTAGCTCTAGATGCAAGAAACTTACAATGATTTTAGTTTTCTACCCAAATACATAGGGAAAACAATCATAGAAGTATTTAATGTTTTTAAGTACAACACCTATAAAGGAGGTGATGTGGCTGTGTATGGTTTATTTTGCCTTGCTTTCTTTATTAGCTCCTAAAATTCATGATACTGGATTAAATTCTGTCACTAAACAATTTGCATGCTGGTATCATTTTATCCTGTAATACAAAAGCCAAAACCATGACCAAAATACTTTTTATTCTTAGCCAGTTTTTCTTTTTCATCACCAATCTAGAGACAAAATCATTCTCACCCATAACTACAGTCATTTTCTAAAGCAAAAGAAATCACTCAAATTGCTATAGGCTGCATCAACAATTTCAATAATTTAAATAATAAATGCATTCTAGTCTCAAAACATAAAACCCCCTTTTTTATTTTGAAAATAAAAACATTTTCCTTTTCTTTTTGTGCCTTTGAATTCAGTTAAAGTGTAGGCTAGAAAAGACTCAATCAGTAACATTCTCTTGCTTCAGAAATACTGTGCCAGGAATCAAAAATGTTTGGGATGTTGCCTAGTTTTTCTTCTCATGAAAACACTTCCAAGATATTTTCAGACTCTTTGTGATAAGATAGATGAGTAACAGTTGGGATGCAGGTATTCCTTAAAAATCAAATACACTTTCACTCTAGGACTAAACCTCTCACACTGATCATCATAAAGGCTTTTAGTTTTCCTGCTCATTTCTCTGCTAAGTGGAACATACAAACATATTGAGAAAAATATTACTGACCTGAAACTATTGCAAAATGCTGTGACAAATGGAATTAACCTCCAAACCCTCGGTCACATGTACTTACATGCACAGAATCAGGAAGAACTAAGACGCTTTTTTACATTTAGAAGGACTTTGATTTGGCAACAGAATCAAGTACTGATTATTTGTGAAGACCACATTAACCTAGGACCACAGTTAGTTTGGGGGGGGTGGGTTTAGCTTGTTTGTTGTTGTTGGGTTTTTTTTGGGGGGTTGGTTTTTTTTGTTGGTGAGCCTCTTGTTGGAGGCCAGTAACTAACAGTATAGCCCAGGGGTCAGTACTGGGGCGAGTCCTATTCAATGTCTTCATTAATGACCTGGACAATGAGACAGAGCAGGGCTGCAGAAGACCCTGAACTCAGAGCAGTGTCTGATGGACCAGAGGGTCATGCTTGCCATCCAGAGGGACCTTGACAGGATGGAGGAAGGGGCTGACAGGAAGTTCAAGTGCAAATTCTGGCATCTGGGAAGGGACAACTCAAGGCACCAGAACACTTTGGGGGCAGCCCAGCTTGAAAACAGGCTGTCAGAACAGAACCTGGATGTCCTGCTAAACACCAGGCTGAACCTGAGCCTGTGATGTGCCCTTGCCAAAGAAGATGGGTGGTATCCTGGGCTGCATTAGGAGTCCTGCCAAGAGATCCAGAGAAGTGATTTTCCCTTCAGCACAAGTGAGGCCATATCTGGAGTACTGTGTCCAGTTCTGGGCTTCCCAGTACATGTGAGACGTGGACACACTGGGGGGAGTACAACAATGGGCAAAAAGATGGCTATGGAACTGGAGCATATTCCCTGTTAGTAAGGCTGAGACCTGTGACTGTTCATTTGGAGAAGGCCCAAGGGGCTCCTAGCAAGGTAGCATTTACCTAAAGCTAGGCTAGTGAAAAGAACAGCAACCTCAAAGATTCAAACATAACACACATGGATGTCACTTCTGCATAATATTTTCTACATGTTTACATGCTAAAATGTCACATATCCACAACCATTTTCAGTACTGAATTACACCATCACATGCTGAAATATCTGATAGGCAACACTTAAAATCTGCAATTCTAATTATAAAAATGAAACCAGAAAGGACACAGTTAATAACATCCTTCATCATCAACTTTTATATGAACAAAACTTCATGCTTGTAATGTAATTACCTTTATAACTGCACAATAATGCACTAATGGCAGCAGTTTAAACTTGATATGGTAATTGGCTGATAACAAAAATAAAAAAACACTTTTTAATTTTATCCCATATCCTGTCACTGAAGAGAATTTTTTCTTAAATATTTCCAAAGTTTGAATTTAAGATATGTAAGTTAATAGTAAGATATCAGCATGAAAACACAGCAAAGAAGCCACTGTGGTTTATAGAAGAATATTTCCATATTAGCTACATAACTATCCATAGACTATAAATTCATTAGATAGAAATGGAAAAATCAGTAGGAAAATTACTGATAATGTGTCTTTTCCCACCAGCATTTAATTGCTTTGGTAATACAATTCAGGTAATTTGCCTGCTCCTCAAAGTATGTTCAACAAGCTGTCTCTCTTCACTTCTTCCAGGTTTTCTGGCTTTGTGTTCTTATCATAGAATTTTTGGAACTTGCTATAGCCATGCTCATTTTAAAGATTTTTAGCTGATTCAGAATGCAGTTGGGGTTTACAAAGATTTTTTTTAAGGTTAGAAATGTGTAGGCCTTTTTGATAGCAAATTCTTCTTGTGCATCTCTTCAAAGACCTGCATCCACGATAAATATAGTTGGATCCATCCTGGGCTTCTGTAACCAAAAGTCTGTTTAATTTGGACATGTGGATGACTTCCTTAACTTCAGAACTCCACCTAGTTTAAAACTCAGTATCAAGACCACAGCAGCCATCTTTAAAACACAGCAATTATTTTCTGTCAATAACTCAACATCAGGGTACTGTGGTATCACTGACCTTTTTTAGGAAACTGTAATTTACAAAGCAAATGGTTCCCAGCTGGCCCTGAGGACAGATCTTGTCCAGCCATCAGTAAAAACTCACAAATTTGTTGGCACAGGAGCAGAACAGAAAGCTGGAATAAATGATAGTGTGCTAATAATTATATTTACTAAATAGCCTGTAATTTTGAAATGATCCATCACCAAACATCATCTATAGTGCCAGAGACAATAAAGGCCACTAATCATAAGTTCCAGAACTTTGAAAAGTTCAGGCATGCTTTATTTTCCACAGTCTGTGAATGCTCAGAGCAAATGCATATTTGGCCTGGAGGAGCCAACACCCAATAATGATCTCCTGTTGAAGGAGACTGTATCTGCATTCTGGGTCCACACAAAAGAGAACATGAGGATTCACAGAGGGACAAAGGAAGAGGGAAAAAGCTCTGCCTTTCTGCAGCAAATGGTCAGGCACTCAGCCAGAGCAAACCTCTGCTCTGTCTCCTAAGGAGAAGAGCTCTTTCTGCATTTCCCATACTGAATAAAATAGTGACAGCTCAAGAAAAACAAACCACACAGGTGACAACCACACAGATTTGCAATTCTTTCTGGATCAAGGGAGCTGCAATCTTTTAAATAAAAAATGGAAGCATTTTGGTAGGCTTCCTGCTTTTCTGTAATAATTTTTGCTCCCTCTGCACTTTACACAGTCAATAAAGCTATTGTTTTGTAGCTTATCCCCAAGTTCCACAGCCCTAGCTCTCAGCACACGTCCCAGGACATGCTGAATTGTACCAGAAATGTGTGTTTAGGTGACTTCATTGACCATTGTCTACAAAAGTGTACACAATATAAATGTACACAATTAAAAAATGACTCAGTTATATGCATTCTAACCTAATCATGGAAATCAAACCAATCAGTGCAACTGCTATTAAGAATGGACAGAATTTGAAACTATTATTCCCTGAGAATGCCCTGATACATTCCAGAAACAGGACATCTTTAGCCAGCCCAATCTGGTCAGACTACAATTTTAAGTATTTTAAGATACCAGTTTGTCTTCTGACTTTCTTAATTTGATTTTCACACCATCCTCACCTCTCATCATGCATTCCATCTAATCAAAGCTAAGACTCCAAGTGTGTGATCCCTCCTGTTTTAACCCTATCACTGCACTCTTCACCTCCCAAAAAGCATCCCAACTCTTTCCAGCCCATACTTCTGACAAACACCCCATTTCCCTGACATACACCCCATTTCCCTGACACCTCCCAAACATTACCACTGCTCAGTCTGGGGAGAAGGGAACCAGAACCATCTGTCCTGGCACAGAACACAGGAACCTGTCTCTCCAGGCACTCATGGCATCAAGTTGTCACAGCCCAACCTGCAAAAAGACAGGTAGGTAAATTGTTGGACCAAGAACATTTAATTTACACAGCATAACTTTAGATTATATATTATGTATTATCTGTCTTATGCAGACCAGCTACCTAGGCTTACATGTCTTTTTTTCCTTGTTGGTCTCCACACACATGTTCCACTTCTGTATAATAACTTTTAATATTTAGATATTATAATGGATTTATTGTAGAGCCATCTTCCACTGGCTTTTTTCTCATTCCTTTCCAGCAAATTTTATTTTATCCATGTTCTGAACTGTAAAACAGAATGAGTAATTTATTACAGTTTCTGAACTGAAGTAAAATCCACAACACTGCAATTTGCCGTAAAATTCAAAGCAGTCAAGCTCAACAACATAAACTTCTGAATAGAACTGATGTTTATTATTTATAATTTAAATAAAATACACATTGATGATATGTTTCAGTAGCAATTAATCCACTCATTTTAATAAAACTTCTACTTGTTTGTAATTTTCTGAAGTATTGAGCAATAAATTTCACTTGCTACCACTGCCATAAAGTACTGTTACTGTCATCTGTACTTCACTACAGATCTGTATTTATGGGAGGACATTTGAGTGTTAACAGAAAATAATTTAAAAGTGCTAGATACATGCATTTACTTAGATGCTATTCATATTTCCTTGGCAATACAGAAATCCCCAGTGTAACAGAATGCAAATTCAATTTATATCTTACCAATTTTAACCTTTGTAGAAGTCCCATTTTCCTTCCAGGCTAAGCAATCAAAAATAATTAGATTCAGAACAAAAATGTATTTCAAATGAGTCATATATCACTGATATATTAAAATTCAGTATCTCTCTGTATCTGAGTTGCTGAATGAATAAGACTTTCCATGGCTACATTCATTTGCCAAAACCTCTCTTGTATCATATTAAAAAAATCCCAACATATTCTTGGGAGAGATTATAAATGGAGCATGTTCTGTTCCAGTCCAATGTATGTGATAATTAACAAAACTCTAGGCTGAGACAATCTTAGAAAGGCTGCACTGAAGGAAAAATGAATAATCTTCCATGTCCCTATTGTACAAGACAATAAGATTTTTTTTAAAAAGGTGGGTTTGGGGTTTTTGGTAGGTTTTTGGGTTTTTTTTTTGCGAGAAGGGCTACTGTGTTAGGAAAATATTTGTAGTAGAAAGGATTATGAAGTACTGGAATATACTGCCTGCTGAGATTGGTGTGTCTCCAACACCTGTGATATTTAAAATGACTAAAAACACCCTGGACAAATCTGCACCAAGGTTAACCACAGCACAGCTTGAAAACATTCACCTCCCTGCCAATTCTGTCATTCTGTAGTTCTTAGTAAGGATTTACACCAGTGTTCCTAGCAGAGTTGTACCTCTGTAATAAGCACTGTATGCTCTTCAAAACAAAATAACCCACTTTACCTAATTCTAAATGGAGCATCATCACATTTTGTACACATAACAAAGAAATCAGTGGATGTGTTTATTTCTTGTGATTGTCATATTTTAAAACATATGTAGGTATTATCCCCATTTTTCAGAGGAAAATTTGGATTACATAAAGCATGATCTTCCTAATCCCAAGCACAGAAAACCAAAGAAAGAGCATAAGAGAATACAGATTGTTTACTTTCAGACCTAAATGAAAATTGTCCTTTTATGTCTGGGTATACCAGCATATATCTCACAAATAAAGCTGATTAAAGTACAGAAGTGTCAGGTTCAGAACAGCAGTAAAGTCAGAACTGAGGAATTTTAATACAGAATAACATCAGAGGAAATTAATACCAAATCTAAGTTTGTCATTTCACTTTATGTTGTTGTGTTAAACTGATTTTTTTTTCCTCACACAAAGGAGCAACATAAATACTTTGGGAAAAGATTTTTCCTATGATGTTCCTGAAGTATGTGAAAAATACATATAATTACCCAAAATAAAGCTTCATTAAGTTTCTGTTGTAAAAGTCACACAATTCTTTTGCACACAATTCTTTAGTCATCTAAAAAATAATTTATGGCAGTACACAAAGTAGTGCTGTGTTATAAATGTTTTGAGTCACACAAAAAAAATTAAATCTTGTCTTTTTCATGTTGATTTTTGCAAATTAAAGGATCTAATTTGAGGTGATGGACATTCAAGTATAATTTTCTGTGTATATTTAGAAGTACTTCACTACCAAATGATACTACTGTTTTTACACAGAGATGTTAAAGAAAAAGTAAAATTAGCATACAAACCAGAAGTAATTTCTGTGCTTGAAGGAAAGCTCAATAACTGAAATTCAGGCTTTCACCTCTCATGTTCACTCTTTTTTTAATCAGTTGTGTTCAGCTATTTAGCATACTAAATATTTGAGTTACTCTTTCCTAAAATTGTTTCATGACCCATTGTTATGTCAGCCATTTACCACATGATTCTAACTGGTATTTTAATAAACCTGTCTGAATTATTAGAAAGCCAAAACTGTGTAAGACTATGGGCTAAAAATACCACTGTAAAAGAAAATATGATGCTTTGAAAGTACAAAAAGCAAAGGGCCTCAGAAAATGGGGTTTATCTCATGTATTGCTCTTACTCCTAAGAAAATCTATGAGAGGATTTGACTGCAACAAGTTTGTATTTGTATATGTGTACTGTATAAATCAAGCATTCCACTTTTGGACTGATCTGAATTCTAACTGAATAGTCAGCAAAAGAGGAAACAGCTGAAATGTAATTGCTGTGAACTCAGGACAGATGTACTAACAGAAGACAAAACTGAGCACAGTTATACAGAGATAATCAAGAGAAAAATCCAGTGACACTTCATGCCAACTTACTGACTCAATTGTTTAGTGAGTGGATCCAAAGATGAAGGATTTATTACTCACATCCCATTGAAAGCTTCAATCAGAAAATTGCAGAGAATATTAAAGCAAGAAATATCAAATTATTTTCTAAGATTCCAGTATAAACAAAACTAAATCATTATTTTTTTTTATCTCATGCTGTGCTCATTTCACAGGGTGAAAGAACACACAGAGAACAGAAAAAATGAGAAATACCTCACTTACTGATGCAGTGCTTGAAAGCCACATCCCTGGTTCATCCCTGGTGCTGTGGACAGCAATGAAGTTAAAACACTTAACATCACCTCAGTTTTGATTACCACAAAAGTAAGGGTTTAATATATCAACTAATCAAAGAGGAGCATTAAGTGGAGGCTATATTCATTAAATATTCTGTAGACAAAAAACCCAAACACCCCCAAACCCGTGGATATAAAAATAAAATATATTCTATATTTTTAGAGATATGGTCTTACTGTTTTTGCAATACCATATGACATCAATATTTGCAAAAAGCAGTATTATCATTTAAGTTGCAGTCTACATAGATGCTGTACCATTAGCATATTTTAAAAGTCCAAGTGCAATATAATAAACCACAGAGCACACACACAACACACACACACAAAATAATTCAGTATGTCTCATAAGAAAGTATCCCTTTGCCATTTTTTCTCTGAGCTTTTTTTCTAAAAATGTAAGTGGATTTTCTGGATGAACAATAAGTACACCACAGAGCAGCACTTCAAAAACAAGCTGCAAATTAATTCCTTGTATTTACAGCAAAGTATCATCTAGTTCTGAAGCTGTTAAAATAAGCAACAGTTTACCAGAATCTTTTAAAGTAATGCAAAATAGAGGCATTTTGCAGTACTTTACTTCTTATCAGTTCCCTTTCATTCAATTTTTAAAGGTAATATTGCATGTATCAGCATAATTCCATTGGCAGACTTCTGAGTTTAGGATAGTAAAATAAGTAGCATTTCTTTAGCAATTCCTACAAAGAATTTCATTGCTTTTAATGTGCATTAAAAAAAAGAATGTATATAAGATTGGATAATTTTATTTACTTAATAAGAAACGGAATCTAAAGCAAGTTTAATACTATGAGGTAAAGAATATGTTGAATGGACAAAAATTGATCCTGTAACTAACACAGAAAACAAAATGCAGCTAAAAAATATGTGCTTTTCAGGATTGTTTTCTTATACAATTTTACATTATCTTTTAGTAACAATGCACAATAACCAATGAACCATTTTTTCTCATTTGTCCTTTAGCTATCTTTAGCTATCAGCTAAAGGACATGGATCATTTACTTTTGGACTTTCAGCTCACATGCAGCAAGAACATTCAAAGTATAATGTGTATGGGCAAATTGCAATTATTTAAGTAAATATTTATTGGAAATGATAAAAAGCTCTTGTGCCTGGTAAAAGTGTCAAAACATGGCATGCAATATTACTCTCCTTTCAAGATATGGCCTCTTGCTGTTATTAAATTAACGGGGAGCTTGTGCTTGAATCCTTTTCAGGAAGCATGGTGAGAGGACAAAGAAAAAGAGGAAGGCTCTAAATCAAACCCATGCTGTGGACAAAGAGCAAAAGCCATGCATGGCACAGAGGCAAAAAAGACAAGTTGCCTGGCAAGTTGCCCCATGGCCTGCAGAGGCAAAGAGCAGGGCAGGCAGGTGGAGGGAACAGCCCAACAGGCCATCCATGCTCTAATCAGTCCATGTGAAGGGACAGACAGACAATAATGTAAATTGGAAGGGATCTCTGAAGGCAGCTGAACAGAGGCTGTTGGGATGCCTCATTATTGGAAGTGGTCAGAGTCAGGCTGGACAGTATTTTGAGCAAGCTGATCAAGTGAAAGAAAGGTGTTCCTGCTCATGGCAGGGTGGTTGTACTAAATGTTCTTTGAAGGTTCCTTCCGACCCAAACTCTTCTGTGTTTCCATGAATCTCAGTCAAGACCAATATGAAAAGGTGAAGACAAAATTAAAGGCCATTGTCTTCAGTTTATACATCTCAGTATTTACAACACTAGTCAACACACCAATTCAACCTTAGCATCTTTTCAATCCTCTTCCCAGAAATGTAATTTGCAAGGTGTGGCTGATTGTTGACTATGTTAAAAAAATAGAAATGCATCACTTATCATTGTAATTCATGGCATGCAATGTTTTAAATAATAAACACCTAAATGGTTTTTTACCACAAATTTTCCTATGGGCAGATTCCCAAAGCCATTCCCAACATTGGTAAGCTACTCCCTCTGCTGGATAAGCCAGTATGTGACTGCCATATTTTATTTCAAGTTTGTGTCATAGATTGTTTGCCTTTCCCCCCACCCCTTTTTCAAAGAAACAGACAACTTCTTCTCCTTTGGGTGTTTTGAAAGTTCTCCAACACAAGAAATCCAGTCTATCCAGTGATATACTGGAATGCAATGTCTCTGTTTAACATTTGAGAATATTAATTAAATAAGGAAGAAATTGTAACACTTTGTCTTGCAATCCTCATTCAAGTACTCTTGAATAATCCTTGGACTAGGTGCAAAACAGGAAACAATTGTGTCAATTATGCCAAGCAATCACAAGTCCATCCCCAATATCTTCACCCTTTCTTCTTAATACTTTAGCCATTTACCCTTCATGGCAAAATTAATTTGGGTCCTAGGGCAGAAAAATCTTAGGCCAGCTCTTCATCCATATTTACTTCTAACTTTGTAAGAATACAGCTACCAACTACAGTGAAGTTGTCACCCACAAGAGTGTTTGCAGCATTACAGTTTTTGCCTGACTTTTAATGAATACTGTTTAAAAGTAAATCTGGATGAGAACAGACAGAAATCAGACAGGAAGGAAATTCTCAGATCCAGCAGGGAATCCTAAATTATCTGGACAAGATTACTTGGACTTCAGCTTGTTTGGATCATGTCCAAACCACAACCTCATCATAAAAAGACTTAAGTAAATGTCCATTTTATAACTCTACATCCTTAACTTTGAGACTATGTGTATAAATGTTCAAAGGTCTCAGCTTTGATGTTCCTTAATAAAAGGATCAGTATCATCTCATTTATCTTCACACCAAGCATCCTGTAACTTCATAAAGAAATTAAAATATAAGAAAATTAAATAAGAAAAATGGCTAGATATCAGCAAGTAACATCCAAGAAAGAAGAAAAACATAGGATAAAAATATCTTACACAGGGTAATTTTTAACTGGTTCTTTTTAAAACAGTCTTCCTTTAATCTTATCCTTAATTCTTTCATTTTTAGTCCATTAACTTAATTTCACTGCTGCTATAATGCTGTTATAGCTATAATGCTATAACTTTTGCTTGGAAATGTAGATATAGCTGTTTTTTAAAGTGCTGAATCAAGAAAGACACCTCATGGTGGTACATCTTATATTTTGGGGTTTTGTGCTTAGAAAGCAAAGAATGACCTAGAGACAGACTCCCAGGATAAGTACTCAGTCTACATGGCAGCACTGCTCTGTAATTATTGTAATTGGCTCAAGATTCCTTTATTCATATTTCTATGGAAATCCTAGCTGTAATAGCCAATTGCAAATGGGGTCTATTTTGGCAGCTTAAACATATCAGGATATCTCTTAAACTTGCATTTGTGCATTGTGCCTTTTTTTTTTTTTTTTTTTTTTTTGTTTGAAGGAAACTGAAAAACAGCTGCTGCAGATTTGGTAACAAGCAGAGGTGAATAAGACAAACAGGGAAGAAAAGATAGAAACACAGAGAATCACAAAATTGTTGCAAATTCTAAGGGCAAACCTACCAACCCTGTTCCCCCCACAGTCCTTCACGCTGTGCCAGTTTTACTCTCTGGAATTTTATGAAGTCTATTTACTCTCGTGCCAACAAGAATACCTAATCCAATATCTGAAGCACAATCCAGTGTCATCTTTGCGACTCACACGCGGTTAGAAAACATAGATTGCAGTCCCTGCACTCATGAGGAAGGAATTACCTGGCTGGAATCTAGAGGTTCTTCTGTAATTAACACAGAACTTAAAAGTAACAGGGAAAGTGCCAATGCAGTTCACCAGGTTCGTCTTCATTTAAATCCTCTTTTTAACATAGATTATAGAGCAGAATTGCTTTGTTCCATCTTGTTACTGTTCCCAAAGTTTTCATAAATCATTTGAAGCATGCTAGCAACAAAACGAGCAGAACAAAATCATGCCCCAGGCAGCGGAGAGCAGTGGGAGGGATGCGAGATGCCCCGGCCAGCGCTGAGGGGCGCAACGAGCCGGGGCCAGGGCTCTGCTGAGGGCCGAGGGGGAGCCTCCGTGGGGGAGGGTGGCGGTGGCCCCTTGCCACAGATGTCAACAGGGGAGTTTGTGGTCCCACCGGCTCCAGTGGGACCAGGCTGCGACCGCCTGGACACCCAGGGGGTGGCGGAGGGCCAGGGGCGGCGGAGACGGCGGTCCCGCACTTTGGGGATGATGTGCCTGTCCCCGCCAGGGCGGCCATGGCGCAGGAGCGCCCTTCCCGCCGGCGGGCGGCCTCCCGAGGGGCAGCGTGTTTGGGAACGCGCTGCGGGACCAGGCCGGCCCGGAGCGCGGGTGATTCCCTCCTGTAGAACAGAAACCGCAGCGCATCGCTGTCTCGGAGCGCCGGAGCCTCTCCCGCACACGGAGCTGTGCGCTCGGCATCCACGCGGCACCTCGGGCGCAGCCCCCACGGCCGAGCCCCGAGGGAAGGGCAGAGCCGCGGCTGAGCCGCGCCGGATGGGGCGGTGGCTTCCGCGGGCCACGCAGCCGCGGCCGGGCCGATGTGGGAGCCGCGGGGCGCGGCGGTGAGGGCGGCGGCGGCGGCGGCCCTGCTGCTCGGGGCCGGCGCCTGCTACTGCCTGTGGCGGCTGGCGGCGGGCGGGCGGCGGGGGCGGCGAGCAGCGGCCGAGCGGGGCCCGCCGGCAGGTGAGGGCCGGGGCAGGGCGGGCCTCGGCCCTGCGGAGTGCGGCGGGGCCGGGGGAGGCTCCGCGGGGCCCTGCAGCGCGGCTCGGGGCCCGGAGGTGGCTCTGCGCCCTGACAGAGGCGGTGCCACAGCCCGAGTCCCGGCCCTCCATAGGCGTGTGGCAACCTGGGGCACTCTGGAGTGTGGTTTATTTTTAGAAAAGCCTATTTATTTTTTTTTATTAGTTCCCCAAAGCGTACGTCTGATCAGTGTGTTTACTTATGTTATTGCAGTTATTTGTGTTCCCCCTATAATTCAAAGCTAAGCGGAATGTGTTTAGACGAGGATGGAAAACGATTTTGTGTTTGAAGTGAGCTATTGAATCATCATAATTAACTTTGATCTCTTTTTTTTTAACCCTGAAAGAATACTATGGTGTTTGCCTGGCCAAATGCTGATGTAGAGCTGTGGAATTTAAAACCCTCTTAGCTTCTCAGAAGTCATCTCGAGTAAGCTGTGACTAGTCCAGCAGTCACAGATCAGGTTTCATGGCTCTTCAGCTGGCTAAATAGATGTGCCTCCAACCTGGCTGAAATGGCCTTTGATAGCATTTGTTGCCCTTTTATAAAGGTCAGGTACTCCATTACATCATCCTGACTCAGAAGCAGCCTTCCTCCTTGTTTTGAGTGATGCCATGATCAGCAGAGTTCCTAACATCGTGGCTGTTACTTTGTCAAAGGATCTCAGCATACTACCAAAGTGCCATTATTGTAATTTCTGGAAGTAGTAGTCTGTAAACTGGAAGTTTTGTTTCCTACAATGCCCAGACAGACTCCACATTTCATTTTGGGGACACAAAAAAAAATCTCCAAACCATGTTTGGCGAATATTCCTAATAATTCTGCAGGGGAAATTTGCTATTGGTTAACCAGGAAGTAACTCACTGCAACCTCTAATTGTGTGTTCCTTTTATTCTCCACCTTCAAAAGAGGTAATTAGACGACTCAGAAAAAGGATGGAAATCTTAGTGTCATAAAACAGTGTTTTTACCATTATATGATTGGGCACAACATTAGAACAATATGTCCTACAACTGAGAGCTAAATTTCAGCTTTGTAAAAATCATTAAGTAGCAACTAAGTGAAATGTCTCAAACTTAGTATCAAGTATTTAATTTCTAAATGTTGACAGACAGCAGTCCTCCAGTGTCAACCCATACCATGGATGTGGATGCTCTACAGAAACTTATTCATTTGCTCCAGGCCACAGATGATCCATTAATTCAAGAGCAAGCTTTAATCACTCTCAGCAACAGTGCTGCCTTCTCTGTAAATCAAGTGAGTATTGTTCTGTAGAAAACAACAGTGTCCAATGCCAGCCAGTCTGGCAGAGGAGAGCTGCTGTTTTGCTAAAGAGTGACACAGGACTGAAAGCTAGGACAGCTTGTGCTCTAAAATCTATTTAATGTCTTGCTTTAATTTCTGCTGGCTCAAATAATATAATTCATCAGCTTCACAGAATTTATTGAATTATAATGTTTGGACCACTTAAAGTCCTGAACTTCAAAAGTGCTGTAAATGTATCTTTTGTTTGCTTACAATTATGTAATGTTAATGAAAGGGTTGACTACTGGGTTAAATACTTTCTGGTTCAGATCTAAAGTTTAGTGAGATAAACTGTATTTTTTGCCCCTCACAAAGTTGTGTGCTGTTTGCACATTTAGCAATTTTTCAACTATTGAGGCATCTCCAAATCATTGGGACATAGAATGCAGAAAAACTTTGAGCTGGATGCCAATTTTGATGCCTTTTTAACAGTTTAACCTCCAAGGTCCCACCCTTTTTTTGCTACTTATGATTGCCATCTATTCTGGCTTCTCAAAATGGCTTTCTTAATATAAATCTCTTAGAATGCAACTGAAGCATAAAGCTCATTAGACCATTTAATTTTTTTTTAAGAGCAGTATTTTTTTTTAAAAAGACAGTTACAGTCTAAGTGAGAAAGATTAAAAACAGTAATAAAAACAAGTGTAATGGAAAAAGTTTCAGAACTTCTAATAATATGAAGCTACATCTTGAAATTCTGTCCTCTTCAGGCAGGACTTTTAGGTACTTTTAGGCAATCTGGCTCAGTTGTTCTATTAACTCATTATCAAGTAATTTCCTTTTATTCTTTATAATGTAAAATGCTTTAAGCATGCTTTGCAGACCAGATTTTAAAAGCAAAGGTGATGTACTGTTGTCAAATAATAGTAACTAATACTTTCGTTCTGAAGCAGGACCCTTCTTAGTTTCAGTAAAGCAATAAAGCAGTATCTGCTAACACTCTCTTTAAACAGAGCAGTCAATTCTGAATTCTTCATTCACATACTTCATTTTTGTCAATATGGAGACATTGAGGGAATGCTTCAGCATTTTAATTGAATTTTTTAAAATCCTATTAAATATATTCTATTTTTCAGGATATAATCCGAAATTTGGATGGTCTTTCTGTTATTGGAGGGATGCTCTCCAACTGCGTTCCCAAAGTTAAAGAAAAAGCACTAAATGCACTTAATAATTTGAGTATGAATATTAAAAATCAGGAAGAGATACAGGTAAGATCCTCAATGGGAAAAACCAAAGTAACCAAGGCAAAGAGATAGTAAGGTCCTTCAGCATATTTGTTAAATACAAGCCAGGATGCCAAAATGCTTTGATGATAGATATACAAGTCAGCAGATCTGGATGACTGAAAGGGTAACTCAGAAATGCATTGCTTCACTGGCATTTACTTTTAAAATAAAAGAGGAACCAATGCAGTTTGTGTTCAGCTTTCACAAAATACTATTAAAGGGAGATTGTTCTGCCAAGATCATAGCAAAATTATGGGAGGTAAGATGATTTCCAAACATGCCTAGAACATCACCAGTGGCTGTTTAACAGAATGGATTGCAGATTGAACTTGCCAGGACTCCTTAGGTGAGGGAGAAGGAAAGAGGAATTGAGCCCCTGGGTTTGTACAAGACCAATTTTTCAGGTGATACTTCCATCTTAAAAGAAAAGCATGTATAAATTATAATAAGTTCCACTGGTAAATACAGTACATTCTATGGATATGAAAGGACTAAACATCAAGAAAAAAGAAATCTATCTGATTAATCAATAGATCAAGAAGTGTCCAAGTGGTGAGCTGAGGCAGATTTGAAGACTTACTAGTTAGTCTCAGTAGCTTGGGAAAAAGGTAGTGTGACTGCATGTGGTATTTGCAGCACCTTAGCAATAGGCAGTTTTTATTAAGTAGTGCTTGTCAATATTTGTTTAGGTGTATAAGTAGAAAATAACTCCTTTGGTAAGGGTAAATTACTTTTTTCCTCAGTTAGGACTCCAAGATTCATTGTATATTGCCATCCAGAAGAAAAATTGGTAAAAATAGTAGTTAATGTCAGTTGTTATTACTGTTCCTGCAGTGTGCTCCAGTAAATGCACCACATGGCTGGGAGAAAGGATTTCATTTCAAAGCTTGTCCTTAGCTTGTTCTCAATATTTAAGATGTTAGTTATTTATAAGTGATTTTTTAAACAACTCCCTAAGGCAGCTGTGTCACTTCTGAGATGGAGGCAAAGCAATTTAAGTTTTCAGAGCAAGTTATGTTTCAGGAAGATTAGTGAGCATAATGCTGCATGGTCTGCTTCTATCATGCCACTAAAATGTTTGAAATATTCAGAACAAAAACATATTTGTTCCCAAGGACGTTCGCCATTCAGCCAGCAATGTTCAGGAAGCATTTATGTTATTGTAGCTAGGCCATTGATACTATTTGTGACAGGAAATATGCTTTTATTAAAAACTATTCTCTCTTTATTTCCTCCCCCCTTTCCCCAGGTATTTATTACACAAGTTTGTGGGACTGTTGAGTCAGCTCCCCTGAACTCTGATGTGCAGCTAGCTGGACTCAGGCTGTTGACAAATATGTCTGTTACCAGTGACTACCACCAAAAGATGATAAACTCTATTCCATGCTTTCTTCATTTGCTTTCAGAAGGAACTGAAAGGACACAGGTACTGGGTAGTGTTATTTTTACAAGCTGTTTTATGAAGCTGCTTTGCTTGCCTTGTTTCTTAACATTTTGGTAAAATGGTTTAAACTGTGCTAAGAAAAAACAAATATTCATTAATGATAACAGATTTTATGCACTAAAATATGGATCTGTATTAGTTTCACAATATAAATTCAAAAACAGGGGAGGGGAGGGAAGGGAATCTTGGTAGTGGAGCCATCAGGCTACAGCTCTGCCAAAGCAGTGCAGGGTGCCTTTACCATTGCAACTCCAGAATTCTCTTCTGCTTTAAACATTGCTACTGCATCACAGAGCAAGGAGAACCTGCATGGGAAAGGCTTCATGAATCTCTGGGATGCATGAATCTCTGTAGGGAAACATGCCAAGCAGTGATCCTAAGCTATGGACTTTAGTTCTGTTGTGCTTATGACACCTCTGGTAACCTTAGTGACTGCAAGTGGAAATCCTGCTTATTTGTGACTTGTTGTAATACTGAAATGAGCTTCAGTGAGGGACCAAACTCAGCTTTATTCAAGATGTTGTGGTATACCATCAGTGTACGTGATTGCTTTATCAGATCAAAACCAGTTTTCCTAAAAACTTATTTCCACTAAACACCTATTGTACTTAAGTACAGGAAGTAATATGGCCTTTTCCTAGTGTTAAAAGACTAGCATCACAAGGTCCAAGAAAGCACAAAGGTGTATTTGTATATGCTTTGGATCATTTTAAATGCAGTACTTAAACATCTTTGTATTGTAAACATATTCTGCATTTGGCCTAGGACTCGTTTATGGGTCTTGTCTTATTTTGATGCTTAAGTCAATCTGAATTTGCTTCTAACATGTCTATACCTTGGTTTTCCCTATACCAAAATACTCAAGATATTGGTTTAACCCATTTTGCCTTTTCCTCCCCAAGTCAACTTTGACATTATTGACACCCATTAAAGCTTTACTTACTGTTTTGGAGCTTTTAAATGAACTTGAACATTCCTCACTTCAGATTCAAGTTTTGAAAGTACTTGTGAACTTATCTGCAAACCCAGCCATGACACGACATCTTCTCAGAGCTCAAGTAAGTTTCTTGCTTCTTCATTTTATTTTTGGCATATATACATGTGTACCAGTTAAAATATTACATGCACTAGAAGAATTTTAATGTATCAGAAATACATATGCAATTCCAGAATAAATTCTAGACACTGCTTGGCTAAAATCAGTAGCTAAGTGCACATTCTTTTACAGGTGGCTTTATTCCAGAGGTTAGTGTAATACAGATACTGTACTAAGAGAGGGAGATGCACAGGGACTTGGAGACAGTTGGTTGTACTTCTTGTGCAACATTCCAAATAATCTTGTACTTCTTGTGCAACATTCCAAATAATCAATAACTTGCAGAAGCTTGTTCTAACCTTCCCTTTCCACCAAAAGGGTAATATCATGAATTTCAGTTTGTGTTATGTAAAAGGAACCCAAACCTTTATCTTCAGACACACAGTCAGTGTAAAGATTGAAAACTATCAAATACAACTGGTACTGTAAGTGATCCTTCTCAACTGCTGTTTCTATAGCCAATGTACTGGGCCAAACCCAACAAGTTCCACTGGAATCCCCACCCCTTTATTCAAATGCAGCCATAAAACTGTTGCCTCTCAGTGCTCTTTCCCTGTGCATTTATTTATTTCTTCATGGAGAAATTTGTGTGACATTTGCTGTGTTGGCCTTGGCACACAGGTTTCTTTTAGTTTCAATTCCTCACAAAGTCAGGGGCTGGAATGGTGCTGCATCCTCATCCCCATCCCCAAAGTAACTTTCTTAAAACATGCAGTGGCATTTGTGAGCTATCTGCCATGAGCAAAGCTAGTCTAGATAATGCTGTCTTTTCATTATTCAAATGAGGTTAGCGTAGCTAAATATTCAATTTTCTGTTAGGTGTATCATTTTTCATTTATCAGATATGCTAACAAAAATATTCAGGGCAAAATCAACGTGGCTGAGAAGGAAAGGAGACCCTCTCTTCCAAATGGGAATTTTCCAGACAGCCACATTTTGGAGATTGAAAATACAAAGTATTTATTGACCCATTGATGCACAGGCCAGTCTTTTCTGGAGAGAAAATATGCACACTGTGCAAGTTTCTGACAGGAGCTCACAGTGCACTGGGATTTCATACAATTTCTGTATGAAATGGTTTAGGTGCACATTTTTTTCCATTTTCTTAAGTGTGATTTAGTTCCATGTACTTACTGCTGGTGATTAAGTATGGACTATTTCTTCAATATCCTAGGTGCCATCATTGGTGTTATTTTTTGACAACTGTGTAAACAGAGATATTCTGGTTCGAGCCCTGGCGTTTGCAGCAAACTTGAAAAAGAACATGAAGGACGAAGAAGGCACCAAGACTGAGGAATACAGTGAAGACTCAATTTTCTTCACACTCTGCAGGGACTCTGCCCCATTCACTCAGAGACTGGCATCTTTGCTGCATCACCCTGACACAGAAGTGAAAGAACAAGTTGTGAGAATATTAACACAATAGTGTTGTTTTCTTAAAACAGACTGACCTAACGAAAATATCTAATCTTGGCAATTCTTTGCTAAGAAAGCCTGCAACAAGTAAACAATACAACAATGATGGAGGAAAAAAAAAAGCCCTAAATACTATCAGATATTTTTTACAAGCAAGAGAAAAGCAATAGCTTAATTATTACTGATAAACCACTGCACAGTTGCTACATTTATGCAAGGGGGGCAAACAGTTTAAAACTTGAAAACATTTATATGTAAAATGAACATTTTAAATGGAAGTGAATGAAAATGTCCTTTGCAATATCAAAGACTTTTTTTTTTACTTCAAGTATTTACAGCTGTTGAATAAATATCTCCTTAGAATTGTGCATTAAAGATGTAGTAATTGGAGATTAGGCATTTATATTTTATTAGTCTACCTATGAAAATGGTACAGCTGAATCTTACAAAATAATATTAAATAAAAACAATACCAATCTATCATTGGCTTCCTACAGAATTAGTATCTTCAATGAAAGCTGCATACTAAAGTCACCAAACCTAGGTTTTTTCATCATACCTGTATGGAATTTATTCTTAAACTCCATTTTTGTATGCTTAGTATATTCACTCCATTTAGCCAAACTGCAGTGCAATTAACCACAACTGTGAAAGGTTTCTACACTTGAACAAAAATTGAAAGGATTTTATATTGCTTTAAAATTGTCACTTTAGGGAAAGCAGACATATATTTTAAAAGTATTTTATTAGGAGTCAAGGATTATCTGCAATTGCAATTCAGCATTCTCATTCTTATTTAAAAAAAGTCTACAGGAGCAGTATCATACACATTTTTACAAAAGCTTCCAATTCTGTAGCAGCCTTTGGGCTTCCTTTCCTTGGATATCTTTACTCCTTTTTTTTTCCTGCAATTACAGCATCACTGGAATGAGTGCTTCTGCAGAATTAGCCCACATAAAGTTTTAGTCATCAACCCAGCATTACTTCAAAATGAAGTGGAATCCATACAAACATCACTGTAAAAGAACCTGAACAGAGTTTCCTTGATGATCAGAAAACATACTAGAAAATACTTCTAAAACCAAACTACTAAAAAACTTCCACTACAGCAAAACTAAAAAAGGTGTCAGATGTAAAGACTAGGAAAGTTTTCCACTTTGTTCCATTTTTAAGAGAACTGTATCACCTAAACTGTTACCAAGTGCTTCATCTTTCTAATTTAGTATCCTCACTGCTCTGAGAAAACATTATGATCTTCTCTTTCTGTACTACAATAGATACTTTTTTTCAGAAGGTCACTTTGCAAATAGCTAGAACTGCAAGAAAAATATGACCTTGAAACTGTGACACACCCATGCCCTGATCAATACAGGGGTAAAGCTACACATATCTAATTTATCCACGTAGGTAGTTTTAACTCACCAGGAATAGAGTTAAGGCAGAAATAGAAGTTGGCATGATTCCCAGTCAGAAACTTGACAATTGGCTGCATTGACAGTGAACTTCCTTTTCTTCTTCCCACTGCTCCTAAAACACTGCACAGTTTGTAATAAGCAAGTTACATTACAGTCACTTAATGTTTTACAACTTTTTGTAGATTTGATGTTTTCTGCAACTGAATTTGACTAAGAAAAGACTATGCCAAACACTAAGAATTTATGCACTCCCCTCTCCTGACAAGACATTAAGACTAGTCTGTTCTAGGTATAGCTGATACGTGGTTTCTTAAGCTCAACAGCAGAGATGTCTAGATGTCCCTTTCCATGTTCTCTAACCTAAAAATAAGTTTTTCCAATCATCTTTTTGATAGAGTTGATCTCTTAGCTGTTTAACAGCTGACACAAACAAGTGACTTTTTCTAAAAATACACATGAACTTGCTATGGTGTTGTCTCAGTTTTCTTTTTCTGGTCTAGAAAGAACAATTTTTAAATGCTTTCTTCATAGAACAATGCTGCTGAGATGTTTGAAATCATGCAAGACTTTCCAATGTGCCTTTATGCAAAGATGTCTCATTTTTTTATCACCTACCTCACACCCTTAGTGGAATCTTAGCAGCGCCAAGCAGAACGGAACGTTCACCATTCTAGGTACAAATTTGGTAAATTAACAGATCCAAAACAAAACATGTCATTACTGACATTTAGTTTCTGGTCCATGTGACTCAGTGTATCTCTGCTCTGTGGCTGCTTAGCTAGGTGTTCTGTATTTTAGTTCCACTCTTTCTGAAGTACGTAATTTTACAGAATAACCTATTGATGATTATAAAAACAGGAAATGAAAATAACCCACATTGTTTTCTTAACAACCTTAATCCTAAACTTGTCCTTCAAAGTACTCAAAACTTCTTGCAGCTTGGTGTCCTCCACAAAATTACAAACGGTAATACACATTGTATCACCCAAGTTGTGATTGAAGCTGTTGTGTGAATACAAGAGACTTCATCTGAAACACCCCCAACACTGAATAACAGGATAGTTTTAAACCAGTTTTGATAACTGTCTATAGTTAAAAGATTACCTCAGTTGTTCCTACCATGAAATATCATTAACTGGTTGTAATTAGTTGACATAAGTTCATGCCTTTAAATAATATGTCCTTTTAATATATATTTATCTTCGTGGGATACGAAGATAATAAAATATACAGCAATAGCAAAAAAAAAAAAACCAAAAAGCACAAACCCAAACCAACCCACATATCCCACAGACCAAAGGAAATCATACACAAAACATGATTTGCCAATGAAATTATAAAGGAGAATAACAACCCTTTTTATTGGCCACAATAGGCTTTAATTCTGAAAATGAGCAAGACAATTCGATACAGACACATTTGGCCAAGTTTTATAACACTGAACAATGTTGTAATCTCATTCAACTTTAAAATTATAGGGAAGCTATTAGAAAAAATACCACAGCCCTTGCTTAAGATTTTCTACTGGGGAGAAAAAAAAAAGGTACTTAGAAAAAGGCTGAGTTAATACAAGGACAAGCGACATTAAGAGGTTTCTCCACTTCATGTGCTGCAAATGACACATTCAGACCTAACATAAAAACATAGACAAAACAATAAAAGTGTGCAGGTATTCTGGCCAGCAGTTAGTTTTACACATCCATGATGCAATATTAAATTATCTCTTTCTTTAAAAGGCACATTTCTTTGATGTAAAATTCAGCTTTTGTGGTTCATTAATACATGAAAATGAAGAGTGAAACAATTTTACCATGCTTGTGCTTAAACAACACAGCTGTATTGGAAGACTTCACCCCACAAAACATACAGTGAAGCTGTATGAAGCTTGTACATCAAGGTACAGGGCACAACCTGAAGACTAACGAGTGGGAGATGACAGTCTAACAAGGAATAATTCAAGTCAGCCATTAATCCTAAGAATATGTTCTGTGCTGAAGTTATTATTGCTGCAGCAGGTGAGATGAAGAGTTTAAAAATAATTTTTTTATCAGTGGTGTACATCAGAGCAAGTTTTCCCAGACAACACTTAATATATAAACCACTTTTAGATCGCCTCTCTAAATTTATAAACAATATAACTAGTAAAATTTGTCATGAAATTGATATGCAAGCTTTAGTTCTGAAACTGACAAACCTGGCATTTAGAAATCCAATTCAATCTCAAAAATCTATTGTGTACATTATGTTAGTATTGTTACATTAGCTCAGATCAAACAGGGCTTACAAGGAACTGACACTGTTTCAGTTTTCAAACCGGTCATTTGTATTCAAATTCCGTGACTCTCCATGGCGTAAGATAAAGAAGTCATCTTTTTTCAAGCCATATCTTTCAAGAGCTTCATTCAATTTAACTGGAGGATCCAAGTAATACTGAAAAAAAATGAGAATAATATGAGGGAAAAGATACCACGGCAACATTTTTTGAAGGGGAAAAAAAAAATCTCTAAAAAACGGGGGAGGAGGAGGAGGATATTTTCCAAATGAAAACGTTTGGGTTCATTTTAGATTTTTGAACGATAAGAACGCTGCTTTACAGCTGCAGAGTAACTAGCAAGGCTCAGCTTGTGAGCCCCAACTCGGTGCCTTAAGGCAGCAATAGATGCGTCCGTGGGAAGCGCTGCCCGCCAGCAGCCGGCGCTTTCCCCGCTCTGCAGCCCGCGCTGGCAGCGATCCCCCCCCAAGTTACCGCGGTGCATTTGTTACATCGCCGGGAGGCGCCGTCAAGGAGTAATCATCCATTTTTGTGCTCCTAAATACACAGTAACTTTTGTACCGCGGGCACTAGGTAACACAATTTATTGGACACACTGCGGACAGGAAACGTTCTATCCTGTGTTCCTTCCATGCCGTGCCACGGAGGTGCACGAACAGCTGGGACGGAGCATAGGTGGGACAGAACATTTGACAGATCAAGTGATCACACTGTCAGGAATGAATTAGGAGATAAAGTGGTACAACTGATGCAAAAACAAAGTTGAAAGACAGCTACCAAACAATATCAAAACAAATGTAGATACTTTCTATTCACTGCACTTTCAGTTGCTGTGAAAATATCTGGGTAAGCTTTGTTATTAAAGCTGTGGACTTGGGGGGGTGTAGAGGGGAATAAAACATTTTTAAAAATCAAGAATTTAGAATAACTCATTTCTTTCCTATCCTTTCTGGTTTTAACTTTGATTCAACTATTAAAAATACTGCTTCTATATTTACTAGACAGACATAATTAATAAATACTGTTTGACTACTGGCATGCAGTTCTTACAATCTCCAAGTGATGCACCACTCAGTTTGTTTTTATTAATGCATAACATAATGCATAATACTACATGTGTCCTCATCTGTTATGTTCTTCAGCATCTGGATATCAGAAATCTTCCACATTTGCTTCAATAACTCTGTACTTTCTTAACCATGGAAATATTTTATGTAATTGGTTATGAAAAGCTAAGCATTGTTTTGAACAGCAGTATATAGAGTAACAATTTTCACTCATACAAAGTTCACATTTTAAGTTTACATTTATAGATATGTAGGTTAAACTGCACAAGCAAAGCTTCACTAATGACTGTCTAGTCCTTGGAAGTCTGAACTCATGTTTAGTGTTGCAATTTACCTCATTTGCTAAAGCAAAGGTCCCCCAATGAATTGCTACAGACTTCTTTGCTTGAACATCAATATGGATTCTTACTGCTTCTTCAGGATCCACATGCTGGTATTTCATAAACCACCTACCAAAACAAAGAAGCACTTTTTTGTGTCACCTAATCCAGTGCAAGATTTCTCCTTTACTGCCATTGCAAAGTACAAAAAGAAATATGTGCTCGCCTAATCAAAAAAATCATAAGCATGTAGACCTGGACAACATACAGAACACTCAAGATCAAGAAACTAACATATACCAACATACCCATCAAACAGCAGTTCATTGATTGTACTCTCTTTTTGAAGGATATTTTCTTAGCTCTATTTTCAGTAGGTTAAGGACATACTACTGGTGCCCTGAGGCATTAGGGCTGAAACTTTAAATCCATCCCTAAAAAAAATTTGGTGCCAGCAGTACACACCAAAAAGTGTGTGCTCCAGAGATAGCCCACGGGAACAGGCAAAACAGAAGAGAGAACTTGGCAATTCTTGAAAGACACAGAATTTTTTACCATGCTATTTAGATTCCCATCTTTTTTTCTTAGTCCGTACATTCTTTCCTTCCAGAATCATATGAGTACTATCATCTAAATGTTTTCTCCAAAAGGAGAAAAGTTATCTCTCCTGAGCAAACAGATTTTTCATACTCTATAAGAAAGTCATCCTTGTCTCCAGATAAGTTGCAAACACTGAAGCAAGAGAAAAATGCAGCAAATGACATACACTGGAATGGGCTGGATTAAATGGTGCCATTTCAGAAAAATAGGCACAGAGTAACTCCAGATTTTTACTCAACATTTTTAAGGGAAGAAAGACTGCTGATTCATCTTTGCTGTTTAAGTCTGAAGAAAAAACTCTCCAAAAACTTTATTAAAAGTACAGCTATAGTTTTAACTTCTGGGTGTATTTTTTGTCATCAGTGCATCATTTCATTTACGTATATTGCTCAAGCTCTGATTTTCTTACCTTGGCTCATAAGCTCCAATGGGGATGGCTGCAAGATCAAAAGGTCCAAACCTTTTACCTATTTGTTCAAAAGCAAAACAATATCCAGTATCTCCTGCGAAGAAAAACCTATTCCAAGGTCCCAAGACAGACCAGCTGCCCCAGAGAACCTTGTTATCATCTGTCACAGTCCTTTTGCACCAATGCTGGGAAGGGGTGAAGACAAAAGTTACCGCATCGTGACCAGGGACACAGTTCTCCTCCCACCAATCCAGTTCGATGACATTCTCGCAGCCACACCTCTGCATCCAGGGCAGGAGCCCCAGGGGCACGAACCAGCGCAGCTCGCTCCCGAAGCGCTCGTTCAGGCTGGCCACGCTATTGTAGTCCAGGTGATCGTAGTGGGTGTGGCTGATCAGCACCGCGTCTATCCTGGGCAGCTGCGCCACCGTGCACGGCGGCCCTCGGAAGCGCTTGGGACCCAAGAGCTGAATGGGGGAAGCTCTCTGGCTGAAGATTGGGTCAGTGAGAAACACGAGTTCATCCATTTCCACCATGACGGTGGCGTGTCCCAGCCACGTGACTCGCATACCAGCTCCTGTCTTCCCAGCATCTTCTGGTGTTTGGACAAAGTAAGGTTGTAACACTGGGAGTTCTTTGTCGAGTTCCTGGCAAAAAAGAACACAATATGCATGAGAGATTTCAGAATGTACTTGGCCATGGAACAAAAACTGCATACAGGGCACAAATCTATACTGTCAAGACTTGTACTTTGTTTATGCTTTTATGCAGAGAACTGCAGCACACACCAGATGCCTTTTTAAAGTCCATTTTCCCAGCTACTTCCTCCTCATTTAATTTTAGGTTTTTTGCAACATTTACACTTCTTTGTCAAGAAAGAGAAGAGATACCTCTTCAGGCCCAAAGACCTGATAGAGTCTGGGGGCATTGCAATGAAAGCACTGCAAAGCACTAACAGCATCCCAGGAAGGGATTCCTCCACCTGAAAAAGAATATGTATACATACACACACACAGAGTGTTACTTAACAAATACTCAAGTTTAGCTCATGCAACTCAATAATGCATCCCCTTAAGTCCTAGCACAAGTAAGTCACAGATGAAATTAAATGCCATGTTCCCCAGCCACACTCCACAAAAGCTCTGCTAACTTTTATCAGGCCCTCTTTCTGTCCATCCTCATTACATCTAGAAGTAGCACACAAAGGTTAACTTCACTTGGCTAATGTTAGCCATTACAATTGTGCCTTCCCATCCTGCCAAGAATTTAATGAACATTCATAAAAAACAAAATAACTTTTAAGATAAACCTTAAGGTACATAGATATGCTTGGTTATGAAAAGGTTCCACCACCTCCTCTCTTATTCCAGCTTAACAAGTTTTGCAGTCCCTATTTGACTAAGAGAGGTCAGAAAACTGGCTGAACTTAATCCAGAGGTAAAAAATACACAGCTCTCATTTTGATTGGCTCCAATTTGACTCAGTGTGTATCCTGGCACAAAGGAGGCCATGGCTGTACATTACCTACTGAAACTCACTACACAACCACCACTCATTCTCTCATTTTGAACCACAGTTATGGTCTTCACTGCAGTTTGGTTGAAGTGCTAATGCAGAAGTTTTATACATAATAAATAAGAGCTTTCCTATTAAAAAAACAAACAACCAAAGAGTCTTCTCAGAATTCCTGACCATCTCCAGGTTAGCCACAATGTGGCTAAGGCTCTCCTCCCAGACATTCATGGTCTGAACTCCTCACTTTGCTTTACAAGAATTTTCATGTGCTAGGGCAGCTTCTATACTCCTGGCATTCCTCTCCCTCATAATCACAAATGTCCCAGCACTTCTGGTTCCAAGTCAAGTTCTGCCTGCCATGGTTGCTGCTCTCATTCTCTCAGCCTAGCACAGATTAGCACTATCAGTGAGTGTATACAGAGCTGACCTTGTGCTCCTTTAGAAGTCCAGCTGATGCTGTGACAGTTCAGAACTCCAGGAGTTGCCTTGCTAAACCAGTCCTGACAGCTTCAGGGAAGTTACTTTCTCCACAATATTTTATTGATTTGGAAGGCATATGTTGGGAACAACAAAGCATGCACATCTCCATCCCCCTGCAATTCTGCTGTAAATAATAAAATATTCATGAAATTGCTTTTTCTGAGAGCTAATGGACAAGACATGCTTACTGAAGAAGTTTCATTACTGTCTCCAGGAATGAGAAATAGATAGCCTTCTATAAAGCTGAATATAAGGTTAGTACAACTCATCCCCTTAGTTCATACAAGAAAAGTAGGAATCTTAGACTGAGATAAATGGCTGCTTCACCAAGAGAGAAGCCATCCTTTTCTTATTTCTATTTTATTCTAAGTACATGGGAACAACATTGGCCACAGAAATCTGAACCACAGAAGTGTTATACTGTGATATTTCAACTTTAAAAAAATATACACAAAACTAACATAGTACTCAAAATGGAAATTAGGACAAACCAACAAATTACATATGGTTAAGTCAATAAATCAGATTATATCAAAGAATTAAAACTCAGATATGGAACTTAATGAATCGTCATAATGCAATTTAGGTCAATTAGTACATTTTTAATGGAAAATGTTCTCTTTAAGTAGCTGGTTTTAGAGTCAGACTCTGAATTTTCTCAGAACTAAATTAATTCACTTATTTTTGCCGACATTTGGCACAAATTAGTTTTTTAAATTAGAATTATGCAATATTAATAAACAATATTAAATGGATGAGGAACTGGCCAATTGGTGGATGTGAAAAATCACCAGTTCTTAAGTGGGACTCAGACATATTCTATGAAGTTTTATCAGGGGTACAGTTAATTTTCTTCCCAGCAGCACCTACAGTGCTGTGTTTTGGATTTGTGCTGCAATCAGTGCTGACAGCAGACTGATGTTTCAGCTACTGCTGAGCAGTGCTTCCACAGCATCTCAGCCAGCTGACTGGGACACACAAGAAGCTGGGAGGGACACAGTTGGGATAGCTGACCCCAATCCATCAGAGAGATATCCCATATCATATGACACTGCACCCAGCAGTAATATCTGGGGTAAGAGGAGGAGGTGGGGCACATTCAGAGTGGATGGTGTTTATCTTCCCAAGTAACTGTCTCATGGGAGGCAGCCCTGCTTTCCTGGGGATGGCTGAACACCTGCCTGCCCATGCAAAGAGAATAAATTTCTTTGTTGGCTTGTGCATGCAGTTTTTGCTTTACCTATTGAACTGTCCTTATCTCAACCCACAAGTTACCTGATTTTTCCCCTTTCAATCCACTGGGGTGCAAGCAGTGGAGGGTGGAAGGAAGCAGCTGACTGGAACTTGGCTGCCTAAAGCCATAACACATCTGCACTATTAATAAAGGTTTACAGGGATGTAGTGGGATTGATGCTATCAAGTCCTTAGAATAGTTGATTTAAAGGTAGAACTAATCACTATAAAAGGCATTTGTAAAAGTCACACAGACAGGAAGATTGATAGAGAGGAGCACAGTCCAAACAACTGCTGTCCTGACCTATTTAAATGAAATTCTGTGAACAAAAGTTCAAGACAAACCAAGAGCACAAAGGCAGTATAACCTGTACAGAGCTTTTGCTCTCCAGGTTTGTGATACACAGGCCTCTGATCCAAGCAATGATTCTTCAGAGGATGAGATCAGAAACCAGGCATGTTGTTGAGCTATCATGGTAAATCACACCAAAACATTACTTCTCAGTGCATATGATTTGTGTTTGGGGTTGTTTAGTTGGGTTTTTTTTTTTAGTATTTTACAAAAGCACAGTAAAATCCCCTTAAAGCAATAAGAAATACTCAACTCGTAAGATTTCAAACTAAACCACAAATTCTATTAGCGGTATACTTCACATGAAATACTTAAAACTCACACAACAGGATAAAGCAATATAATGAATGAAATATGTATCTTATGGAACTTTTATCCTGCTATAATACATTTTGTTCTGTCAGACTAACCAGAAACATTAAAACTAGGAGAATTATAACAGATTTTTGAAATACAGCAATTATGTCAAATCAGCTACCAACAGAAGTAAAATGTGCTTAATACTGTCTTGTCTTCATTACTCAAGTAATACAAAAAATTCCTCCTGCTGTGTCCCCTCCCCCTCCCTGTTCTTCTTGCCCTCCTAATGCAAAGCAAGAAAAAACACATGACAGGCTTTGGTAAGACTAGCTGATTAGCTTGGGATTTTTGGTGCTTAGTGCATACTGGAATACCACAGGATTTACAGAAATGAGAACAATCTAAACTGCTGATCCAACAACTAATAATGAAAGATCCTCCAACAGCACTGAACAAAGTTAATAATAAAGTCTGTAATGAAAATATGAGAAGTGCATGCATTCTGGATGATGATAGAGGCTCGTTGTGTAGGCATGATTATAATACATATAGCTTTTCCACAGTGAAGTACAAGCACATATTCTGGATAATATGCTCATTTTTACATACACAAAGCACTTGGTACAGATAAACTGAACCTGCCCAGCATAGCAGGGCATCACTAGGCTCACTCAGTGTGGAAACTGAAGCAGGAATCTGGCTCAGAGGATGTGACATCTAGCAGTGATAAATAAAGTATGGAGCCCTTCGTTTGAATTTTATACAAGCTCAGATGCACTTCACAGGCTGATGTAGGGGTGGAAGAAAACTGGTTGAAACTAGCATCAAAATGGCTGAGGACTCCAGAAGTGCATTTCATTGATCCCTATCTAGGTTTTTCTCTTTCTAATTTACTTCACCAAACTTGTGAATAATTACAGGCGCCTAATTAAAAGATCTCCTATGCAAAAAAAAAAAAAATTAGCCCATGATTAATCCCAGCTGGGTCAGAGAGATGGCTTTTTGCCTTTTCAGCTGGTGCCTTGTAGATTTCTTTGTGATCATCCTTTATTGTAGGGACAAACTGTAAATTAAAGGGGAGTGCTGCAGCTCTGCACTCCACAGTGCACCTCAGCTTTGCCTTCAAGGGACCTCAGTCACTGCCCAGGTTTCTGACTGGCACTGGGAAGACATGAAGCCTGTTCTACTCATACCAAGGAGGGCAGCAGTCAAAGGCAACTGAAAACTTACAGGTGTGCATTTCATGGAAATGTGGGCAGCACACAGTCTAGAAAGCTGTACACACTGATGCAATCATTGTCACTACAAGGAAGACACCAAATTTGCTGGACGGGATCTTAAGACTGACACAAGTTTGCTGTTCTTTTAAGTTAAATTACTTATTATCATATTACAGCCAATTTATTTGTTCCTTAAACATCCCCAAACCATCATGCATTAATGCCTAACGTGGCTTTCCTGTCCATAAAACTGATAGAATTCATTCCTTCACAGGTAGTTCAAGTAAGACAAAATGGAAAGCTCTTTGCTGGCTGTTAGATTTATAGCTTGTGATACCTTCCTGCATGCTTAAAAGCATTATTAACACCTGCTTGTTAACAAATACTGCCCTTGGTTGTGCACCCTTCAGCACAGCTTTTCTGAAATACAGTCAACACATCAGAAATGCACTGAGAAGTAATTCTGCCAAAACCTAGTCATCTTCATACCTCCTGTGACCACAAAAATAACCCATGGCTTTCCAGTACCCATTACTCTTCATGGGAAAGAAGCTTCTCCTATCTCCTTCTTTACATACAATACCTGACAAAAGCATTTCACCAACAACAAATAACAGTGTTACCCAGTGAACTGGCACTGTACTTTAAGTGTTTCAGTACAAATACTTGCTCAGATTAGTTTTAACACATGCAATTTTTTCTCCTGGTGTACTGAAACATAAAAAACCAAATTTGTAAGTATTTTCATAAGTAGGTGACAGAAACTATTACATTTTCATTCAAGAGATGCAACATATGTATTAAATTGCCATCTAGAAAAAAAGGCAAAATTTTAAAAATTGGATATGTCATGAAATAAGCTATTTCATGCAACACAAATTAAGTTAATAGTATGCTTCATAAGGCAACACCTATTAAAAAGGAATGGCTGTAACTAGTTTATGACTGAGGGGGCCATTTTTTTTTTGTTTTTATAAATATAAAGTGAGCTGTATAAATTAAAGCATGTGGAACTAACAAGGAGATAAAAATTAAAGAGGTAGAAAGTATTAACCTACCTTTTGAAAAGAACAAAATGTCAATAAAATCAGAAAAGTAAGACTTAGAAAAGTCTCCAGAAGATGCCTAATGAGTATTAGTAAGAAACTGTCCTATTTTATTGATTAGAGCAGATAAAAGCAGTCTTAATCACAAAAGTAAAACATGGAAGTATTCACCTGCTTTGAGCGTGGCACATTGCTGTTATTTTTTTCCATGAAGGACCATTTCAAAATGTTGGGTAAGGTTGGTGATTTCCACGTTGGCCACGGGTTGACAAATCTCCCATCTTTGCCCCTCTTTGATTTAGTTACATCCTCTTCTAATCTGTAGTCCAGCCTGAAGCTTTTTCTGAAGGTCCTGGAAGAATCATTGCTCCCGGAACCTCGACCCAAATTCTGACGTTTCTTCACTGCTTCCTTAGGGTACTGGTTACAGGCAGTTGAAGGCTGCTCTTCATCTGTGTTCTTATCCATACCTTTTTCAGGAGAGCTAAATCAAATTTTATATTAATCAGTATTTTCTTGGTCTAGCATCAACACTCATAAGACTGAATGTTCTCACACACATTAGGAACAAGCCCGCCTTTCCTGTTTTATGATCTACTGTATTTTTTTAATCAACAAAATATGCTTTTAAAACAGTCGCTGTTACACAAAAGACTTCCAAAACATGCTGTGACAAGCAGTCATGAGGGCTCTTTGTAGTTCAGGCTGAATTTTACTCCCTGGAATGCACAGCTTCAGATACTAACACTATTATCTACCAACTGCAAAAATGAGGGGGAAGGGTTCCTTAATTTACATTTTGGAAGAATAGTCATTCCTCCTGAAACTTATGACATTTGGTGCCTGATGTAACACAATCCTGCAAGTCTGTGCAAGAGACACTGGAACTGTACCTTACCTTAGGATTTGCCTATATAGTGCCTTGGTTTTGTAGTAAAAACTGCAGTCTTGTGCAGCATTACTAACACTTATACCAACACACATGCAGGAAACTCAGAACACAAAAGATATTTGGCACTGTTTAGTATTTTGTCTAAAACAAACAAGAAGTTTATTATTATAAAGGTAAATAACTGTTTCAAATACAATTTTGATACACATTGAACTGACCGGTGAAAGGCCACAGGAAATTGAAATATTTTAAATCACAGCTGCAACATTCACTCTTAATTCCATCGTGAAATATAGAAAAGTGAGAAAATAACTGAGAAAAAACTCATTTCTATGAAGTCATGATTCTGGTACATTTCTTAGAAAACCAGCAACTCAGTAGTCAGACTCTCTTATTTCAAACTGCACTTTGGTGTTGCAGACTTTACAAATATAATTGAATTATACCCAAGGTAGAAAAACCAAATAGCCCTATTTTATTTTAGAAGTTGCCAAAGCGATTCAATTTATTCTAAATGCTTCTATTTCTATGTTTACTTTCAACTGAAAGGTTGAAAGTAAATACACTGTTCTGTTAGCTTAAAAAAAATGGTTACTGTTTTAATGAGTGCACAACTTTCTGGCATTTACAAATTCTACCTAATTAAAACTGGAAGACAACTAGTAATGAACAGACAACACTATTTACAGCTTAGCTGCAGGAATAGCTTTTAATAACAAATTGTGAAGTTCATCCTGTGGAAAATCCACCACATCTAGTAGATGGACAGTTTTGTCCTATCCACTGTTTAGTAATTCAAATACTCAGACTGCAGCTGTACACTCAGGAGCACTGGGCAGATGTAGGCAAGGCAGTCCATGCAAACAACACTGTCAGAGAACAGAATTGAAGCTCAGTTTTCTTGGAAATTGCATAACTCATTCTGGCCCCATAAGCTCAGTTACAGGGAAAATTAAATACATTGTTCACTGCAACATTTCAGCTAAGATATTACACACATGTGTCAGCAAACTGAACCCAAATGCATCTGCTGATGATGCTCCAACTTCAAATGCAGAGTCCATTCTGCTATTTCAGCAGCAGCTGACAACCAAACACTAAGTATGGTATCAGCTGCAAATAATATGACAATTGATAAATATTGTGAAATTTTCTTAACAAAATAACCATTATTGTGCTATACAGTAGAGATAAAATACTAACACATCAAAATTCATTTCTAATAAATAAAGCATGAACAGCATTCAGAAAACACAGCTGATAGAATTTTTTTTACCCCGGTTACAATCTTATTTTATGTAATTGCTTTTTACTCCTGTTTCCCTGCAGTTTTACTGAAACCACTCCACTAACATATTTCCTGTTTAGCATTAGGATACCATATCTGAATCATAATTTAAATTTAGCTGTTGCTATTTCTAGGCTTTTTTCCTCTATTCCACTAAACATTTCCCGGAATCAGCCTTCAATGAAACACTCAACTTGCTTTATAGCATTTTAAGCAGATGTAAATGGTAACACAAGGAATCAGTGCCACAAAAAGGCAGACAGAATACCCAAAAAATGGCACTGAATATTTTAACTGTTACTTTAACTTAAGAATTGGGTTTGGGTTGTCTTTTACATTCCTCAAAGAGCATTTTCGATGCCAAGTCAGTTTATTAATTTAGCAAAGCACACAGACACAGCATAAAACAGCTACTCTTTTAGAAAGCATCATGAAAACAGATCACAAAAGTTCAATCAGATAGGTACTTAATTCCAGGAAATTATTCTCTTAACATCTCAGACATCTGATTTTTAAAAGGTATATGACTACCATAATTATTGCTCCTACAAGACATTTTATATTAGAGACTAGGGTGCCTAAAGTTTTATTTTTAAGCTTCTCTTTATCTATTCATCTCTAAAATAGGTGAATTTTACTTTTGCTTAAACCTTCATAGAAACCTTTGATCTTTTTCTGAAAGTATAAACCCCTAAGGGAGGCAGGGATCGACTCTGCTGATTAAACAGAGACAATGCCAAAGCATTTAAGGCACTGCAGGTATCTATCTGTCTGCCAACATATTTTCCACATGATGCACATACATTACTTTCATTAGTATTCCATAAGCAACTGAAGGGATAAAAGACCTCAGTGCTCACAGAATACTTTAAACCTTTTACATGCATAAGAAGGGGACAGATTTACAATCAGTTAAAGTATTCTTGATGAACTGTAGGTTCCTTTGAAGTATCAGTCTTGCCAGATAGTTTCTGTTCCACTTAAATTTATTAAATATATCCTACAATATTCATGACATAATTTTCTTATATAGAAGGAAAAGATGATAATTTCTTGAAAGCCAGCAATCATTAGCTTAAAATAAACCCCAACCAATTATAAGCCCAAGGAGATTCTTATGCTTTTGCAAAAGAAAGCCTCTACAGATAAGGAAATTTAGCAGGTATACTTTAAATACTAGAAAATATGCAATCAGAAATCAGTTGGTTTTTCTGCCAGCTTTCCTAAATTCTTCCTACCCAAAAATAATAGTTTGGCACTTGAAAAACTACTTTAATGGCAGCAAAAATTATGAGCTATAGAGATACAGAGCTCTGTTCACTTAGGAGGGACAGAGGGAAGGGATCACATCCCTGGTGAATGCTTATTGTTATGTAAAGTTCTACACAAAATCTTTTTATACTTTTAACCATAAAGAAAAACTACTATTCCACTTAAAACCATTAAACAGCCTTCCTGGCAAATGGAACCCATCCTTCAGGATGAGGCAACTCACCCCAACAGAGGGCAAGTGCATTGACACTATTTGTAAGAGGGGCTCAGGAGAGACACAACCACTCCCTCTCTCTCTGTCCTCAGAGGTGCTTTGCTCTTTCAACTGAATTCAGAAGAGGAAATGAACCAAGAACATACAAACTCCTAAAGAAGACCATTAGTCATCCAAATCCACAAGGCCAGAAGGTGTTCTACACAGAGGGAAAGAACACAGAACAGGCTGATGAATAAGACAAAGTTTAACATGAATCAAAATGCTGAGCTCACAGATCAGGTTTTCCAGCATCAAATACTAAGGCATCCCTCGTAACCCACAAAGGAAGAGCAAAGTTGTAGATCTGGCAAGACATGGCATAGAGGATCCATGTCTGACATCCCACTAAACTGGCTTACACTGGCTTACAACAGGATATGGCCCTTAGGACAACAGGTTTTGGGTAAATGGTTTATTTTAGCATTGCTTATATAACTGAAGACTTGGATACAAATATTTTGGCTATGAGCCTTGTGTTTATTTAGGAAAATAAGAAAAAATTAGCTAAATATTTTAATGCTCTGTTTCAAAATAAGGTTTGCAAAAGGATACAACAACATTACAAGAAGCACTCTGCCATTATAATTTTTCTTTTTAAATGGTCTTTTAAACAAATGATGTGAACATAGCCATAAAATCTCTTGTCTTCACCTTTTCCACCCAGTCTCTGCTAAGATCTGCTGCTCCATAAATGCAATGATGTAGTTCCCCCACTATCACAGAGCCATGCACAACATGCTACAAAGCATCGAGTCAGGCAAAACAGACTTACCCTTTTTTGCTACACAGAAATGTGGTCCTTATGTAACAAATCCACAGGCCTGACAGGTTAAGAATTACTACGAGGCTATGGTTTACCAGAACACAACAACTTCCCCAAAACTTCACAATTGCCTGGTAACATTCCATAGCCTCCCAAATACCTTGACTTTCTCTGCTTTTTTGAAGTAAAGGGTGTGGTTCATTTTTAATCACTGTCTTCCTAAAGCCTCCGACTGGCCTTACCCTAAGGCAGAGCACCAGGGCTCAGGAGCTCAGTCCCCGAGTGGGGACCGGGTGCCTGAAGCCAGCTTGCTCACGCCAACGCCGCGGCTCAAACCCCCAGCAAGCTCAGTGATTCTCAGCTCTGTAGTGATTGCAAGCTCTCAGGATTTCAGCCCTGCTCGCTAGGTAAGTTTGCCCTTGGCTGGAGGCTGCAGCAGACGGAGAGAGAGGAGAAGGAGAAGGCGCAGGCTGTTCCATGGAGATGGCTTTATTTGGGGAGGTCTGTGAAGGGTCTCTGCTCTTCTTCTTCCCAACTAATGGGATACAGTATGCTGCTTTTATAGGGTTGGAAAGGATCCAAGCTTGACCAATGGTAAGGGGTTAACATGACATTGCCTTATAGGGTTACAGAGATAGGCTATGGGGTGGATGCCCATGGAGACAGGAACTTCTTGGCTGCCTCAGCATTCCTATTGTTCAGATCCTCCATGGTGCTTTTCCTAAATCTATGGGGTTTACTACACTGTCTCTCTGTGTAAACTACATCCAGAACTAGGCTGCACTAATGATCACCTAGGAGAGATAATTCCCAGCAAACTCACACCACTGCAGCCTTACCAAAACAAGAGTGTGAGCTTTCTCCATATACAGCTACACAACTCTGAAGTTTTCTTTCATTATACATATTTTTAATGACTGCAAAAACCCAAGGATTTTGGCTTGAAATAAAACAAAAAAATTGTTTCAGTTAGAAGGAAAGGTATTTGCAAACGCTAGAGACCATGTAAGTAA